ATCGGTTATGTAGTGAATCACATCAAGAGGTGAATAGACAAATTAGATTCCCTGCAAAAAGGCTGTGTTTATTCAATATTTCCTTTGAAGGTCGTCTTCATACTGTCAAAGATTCTGCTTATGGTTCATTAAGAATCATCCTTACAAGTTATATGAATATGATATATAATTTCGTCCAACCTTCTTCACAAGGAACTTACAACACTGTAGTATCACTTAGCCCCTATTTTTTATAAGTTTGATAGCCAGCTCGTAGCAGTTAGAGAATTATTGAGAACTGGGGAGTACTAGACAGCTGTTTTGTTGTAGTTTGAGGTGGACCCAAGGGTGACATGGAAAAGTTCGTGTAACAAGAAGAGGAGAGCTTATGGGCTATTATGGAACCAAATAAAGTGGACTGCAGAAGACAGGATGAAATGGAGATGTGTTGTTGAAACCCTATGTTCCACTCGGAATCTAAGGAAATAATAACAATAATTTGTTAACTGGATGAAGGTAAGAAGTATGAGAAAATATATATGATAAGATCATGTAAAAAGGTCGGTCACTGTACATCGGTGGCACGGCAGTAGAACGCTCGCCGACCAAGCACTCTTTTACCTTGCTAAGCTGGTAATGACAATGGTGAAGAAGGAAGGTTAGGCTAGCAACCGCATCCCGTAAAAAAAACACTACTGCTACCAAAACTTCAAGCGTCTAGTTTGAAGTTTTATGTTCCAATGGGAGCGTGAAGGATTAATAATAAAATAATAAGTAGATTTTTTAGCAGTGAAAAAGGAATGGAACCACATGTCACAATGAGAGAGTTACCGCAATAAACTCAAAGTATTTGTAGACTGTCTTCTATGTTTCACCGCTTTGATTTTCAGACTGAAATCACGTACACTGCAGTAAAAGGCAAGCATTTTCTTGTTCTTTGTTGACGGATAATGAATCTAATTGCAGTGGTTTATACTCGAATAAATTTGGTTACAGGATTTCATCATGAGCTGACACCATTTAGAGAACCATTGGAGGACCCGGGAGTATTGGACAGCTGTTTTGCACTCCCAGGTTTTTCAATGGTTCTCTAACCGATGTCAGCTCATGATGAGATCGTGTAACCAATGAAATCTCTGCAAACCAACACTAGAATTAATTTTTATTATGTAATTCTTGGTAAGATTTATTTCTACGTGTTGTAACTACTTAGGAGAATTGATGATTGTGTAGCCAGGTCATCAACTTTTCGTATTTTTCTTTTCATAAAAACATAGGTGAATCTGTGCAAACAGTTCCCAATATTAAGAACTGCCATATAATGTTTTGGTACTGAGAAATATAAAATAATAAGCTCTCTGTGTTGTATTGTTTAGGCTGTGATTTAACCTTATTGAATAATATATATTTCTAAACCAAGTTCTCTTTTAACGGTTTGAAAAAATTTGGGCATTGGGTATATGATATTCATTATAATAAAGGTTTTTGTATTTCCCAATGAATTAAAAACAAAACGATATTGTTTTTACTGACGTTTCGCTATTTAATGCTAATAGCTTTATCAAAGTATTATTAAACCGGAATTTACAAAATCTCAGCATATATATAACAAACAGTTAGGGGGTGAGAAAATAGACATAGGTCAAGTTAAAGGGACATATTGAAAGTAAAAATAGCAATGAAGATCACTAAACCAAATAACAAAGGTAATAGTACGTCTGTTATGATATCAAAATAAAGTTTACTAACTTGATCATCGTTCGTCTGTCTGGGGGAATTTTTAGTTGTCAAGTTGGTCAATTGGTAAAGATAACAAAATCAAGTGTGGATTGTTGGATTTGATCGGTGTGTAAAATTATAAAAGTAGTGTGTGTTTACATAGTGAACTTGCTTATCACATTCGTGTTGATTTTGTCACTTGATGGGGGAGGGAGGTGTTGTAACCCGATCAGATTCTGTTTTAGTCCATCATTCCTATTCAAGCAATTTCGATTCCACTTGATATGAAGTGCTTCTGATATTAGACGTTCTTTGTGATTTCTGGATTATTTCAATATTGTCATGATCAATTTTGTGGCCTGATTCTATAGCATGTAGACCAATGACTGATGATTTTTCAAGTTTTTGTAGTTCAACGGGATTTCTCAGTGGTCGAAGAGATGCTCTACGGCGTTCACTTCTTCTGATTTTGATTTCTCGAGATGTTTGTCCGATCTATATCACATCACATTCCATGCATTTTATTTTATGGACACAATTAGATAGAGAATCTTTAGGGATTCGGTCTTTTATATGGACAAGGTTGTTTCGTAGTGTGTCTGATGTTTTGAAGGAAACCCTAATGTCGAGCTGATTGAGTACTCTTTTGACATCGTCTGACGTCTCTGCTCTATGTGGAATAACGACTATTGATGTCCATGTTTTCGGAATGCGTTTTCCGCCATACTTAATGTCAGTGTTGATTTTGTTGATGAAGTTCCATGTGTAGTTGTTTTGCTTGAGAGTTTCAGTAATGTTTGATATTTCTTCTTCTTTTTCTTTCTCGTCGGTTATCAGAGAGTGTGCTTGTCTAAGAATACTTGAAACAACTGAAATATTTGCGCTGATGAAGTGTGATGACTTGAAGTCTAAATATTTATTTGAGTGGGTTTTCTTCCTGAATATGGATATACTAAAATGTCCGTTTTCCCTTCTCTTAACTAGGCAGTCTAGAAATGGTAGTTCACCGACGTCTGATTCTGCTTCCGAAGTGAACTAGATTCTGGGAGATACACAGTTTATTTTCTCCAGGAATGAATTGTGTAGATCTCGTTTTAGTACTACAAAAGTATCATCCACATATCGTAACCATATTTTAGGAGTGAGTATGTTTGAAAAGATATTATTTTCGAATTTATACATGAAAGGGTCGGCGACTATTGGGGAGACTGGTGAACCCATAGCAACACCATTTGTCTGTCTATATAAACTCCCTTTAAATGTAAAATAATTACTTTCTGGACAGAATTTCAAGCTCTTAATTATTTCACTAGTGTCCAGTGGACATCTTTGTGATAGCGTTGTATCTGATTTATTTATTTTGATATCATAACAGACGTACTATTACCTTTGTTATTTGGTTTAGTGATCTTCATTGCTATTTTTACTTTCAATATGTCCCTTTAACTTGACCTATGTCTATTTTCTCACCCCCTAACTGTTTGTTATATATATGCTGAGATTTTGTAAATTCCGGTTTAATAATACTTGTTGCGTGTTTTATTTGACTAAATTTGTGTACACGTATTTCCTAGCACTTCTTCACGTTTATCAATGTGCGTAGACGTTGAGGCTACTCGATGCCCACAAGGTAAAACCAGGAGGCACTTGTGAAGAGTGTAATCGTGTATTATAGCAGTAGTCAAATTTCAAAATTGTATCAAGGTAACGTTCAACAGTAAATTGACAAATGTTTACGAAGTACATATAAAATCAGTCTGTGTAAACATATAATATAAGTATGCAAATTGGACTAAAAGCGTATGTTTATAGTTGGTATAGGGGTACTATATACTTTGATAAAGCTATTAGCATTAAATAGCGAAACGTCAGGAAAAACAATATCGTTTTGTTTTTCATTCATTGGGAAATACAAAAACCTTTATTATAATGAATATCCTATACCCAATGCCCAAATTTTGAATAATATCTTTCTCATAGGATAATAAATTGATGTACACAGCTTTTCACAGCGCTGTGAAGATATATGCAATGTCGTTGTATTTTGTAAGCTTGGCGATTTAATTGCAAAGCTTTCACTATCTCTCTGGACAATATCTTCACCACTTGCTTCAATGTAACTTCACATTAAAGATAATGTTAAATAACCCAACTCACATAACGCAACCACATTATAAACATGTGCCTGGGTCAAAAGTTTTTCTACTGCTGTGGAGTATTTAAACCATAAATGAAAAAAAAATTGTCACTCGCAAATTAATCTAATGCTCACCGGTGACTGATCACATGAGGAAGTTGCCTGGAGTTCCAGTAGGGAGTCGTTACCAGTGGGGCCCAACATGTCTGTTGTGAGTACAAATATTCGCCAATGATACTGGCTAGGTGTGGTGAGAACTGGAAGGAATTAAGATTTATGGTTCATTTCACTCCGTCTGAACGGCTCAGTGGTCAGAAGACTAGTCTCGTATTCAGAAGGTCTTGGGTCCGACAACCATTGGAACCATCAGTGAGTGCCATTGGGAAGCTCCAGACTAAGACGGTCCAGTTATCCAGTACTCCTTGGTTTTAGGTGGTTCTCTAAATGATACCAGTTCACGATGTAATTCAAAAGCGATCAAATCTCTGCAAACCAACACTTGGGAAACACATTTATGAGGAAAGATGGCAGTGTGGATAGCTCAGTGTTTACGTCTCTGACTGTAACACTGAGTGACTCGGGTTTGAACTTCAGGAGAGACATGAGTTCCTTCAAGACTGCACAGTGGTCGCCAACCAAGCACGAGGTTCGAAGTTCGATTACCGGTCGACTCACTCCTAAACCCCACCTAACCGGTAGCAAGTCCGGAAAAGTAGGAAGGTTTGGAGTAAAGCTAGCAACCCCATTCCATATAAGACAATATCGCTGCTATGGAAAATTCGATGCTACAAGACTGAGACACTTTGAACCAGTCAAAGCACGACGAATGAATGAAGGATAGATAGACAGGCAGGCACACTTATGACGATATCATGAAAACCTCACACCGACAACATAAAAGAAAGCTACGATTCTCAAATAATAATGATAAACTTAGTTTAATTTTAATACAAAATGAAGATATTCTGATTACCTGAATGAGTGTATTTTTATCTAGGTAAACAATATTGACAATCTTCGGTCAATAATTGGTTGATTAAAAGTTTTTTTCAACTTCAAACCTCTTTATTACCTGTCATTTGCTAATTGATTTTGATTTAACACAGAATGAATGGATGAATGAGTGAGTGACACATTTTTACTGTGTTTTAAATCAATAGTGTCAGTGGATTATATGTTGATCAGAAGTGAACTTCTCCTTTTATGCTTACAGTTAGTTCAACGTGGTTCACTTTCACACTACGATTCAATTTTAACTCGAGGTGAACAACGCTGAGCAAGTGGGATATAATTTTGTTCTGTAGTTTGGATTATCCCCATAATAAACTGTAAACGTATGAATAAGTATATATGTCTATATTACTTTCAATAATTATTATACAATTAATTATTTTATTATGATATTGTTCATGAATAAGTAATATGATGATTTTGTTATTTCAAAAAATTTATATTATATGCCATTTGCTTGTTAGATTTCGAGTGGAATATAGAGTCTCATAACCACATCTTTATTTCACTTGGTTCTGAGACGTCTCATTTTAGTTGGCTCCATGACTGACACCAAGTGCGTCGGTGGCACAGTGGTTAGGACTCTCGCTGACCATGCACATGGTCCGAGTTTCGATCCCCTGCCGAAGCACACGGCCTGCAAAATTTAGGCTACCGATATCCATGCTGAAAATTCCATACCTGTACTAAAAATACGGTGTGGCATCAAGCTGTAACCAAAATAAAAAAAAATAATTTCATCTTCACATGATCTCCTTCTTTGTAATCGTCGGATATCCATTCGGGTTCCACTTGGCGGCCTGGCTTGTGATGTCACTCACTGGCCTGCTTAGCGTATGTCCAATCCACCCCTGTTTACCTCTGTATGTCTGTTGGGTAATAGGTTGTTAGACAGTTTTTTTATTATAGCTTGATTCCACACCCTATTTTTGGTACAAGTATGGAATTTTCAGCATGTGATATCGGTAGCCCAAATTTTGCAGGCCGACCATTTATCTCAGGTGTGCGTCCGCAGGGGATCGAACCCCGGACCATGTGCATGGTCGGTGAGAGTCCTAACCACTGTGCCACCGACACACATACCAGACCTTTCTTATTGTTTATTCAATCTGGCAAGCCATCTGAACTTCAGTCTGGAACAGTTTTAATAAATACAATAGTTTGTTAATTTCAGCTTATAGTTTTGTAGGTAAGTGGTTGTTGTTCCAGTGTAGATTTTGATACAGACTCAAATCACTTGAAGAATTATTGAGAAGCAAACAGCAGTAAACATCTATTTCATCATTGTTACTCACTGTTAATGAAGAGTCCTTGGTCGGGACGAAACAATTTCCTGGAGCTTATAACATAAGAACAACGAATTTTTAGTTGGCCATGTCAGGATAACATATGATGAAGAAATAGTTAGCTTTTGGAAATACTCTCTATGAAGACATCTTAAATGTTAGCCATTTTTGACTGAAAGACTGTAGAATACATCCAAGATGTTTTATCAAGGAGCTGTTTGGCTAATGTTTTGGAAGAAATATTATCATCACTTAAAATCCACCTATCTTTTCGGTCATACACATGTGTCCTGTTTAATTTATTAAAACAATATCTGGCAGTACTGTCCTAGTTTGGGACTCTTCAGCAGTACGCATTCACCGGGGTTCGAATCCAGGACCTTCTGGTTACAAGGCGAGCTCGTAGCTGAAATCCTCCATCCAATCAAACAAAATCCCAACAGACAACCAATACTTGAAAATCGATCTGATGCTCACTAGTGACTGGCTCTATTCAGGCAGTTACCTGGGGTCCTAGTAGGGAGCCGTGACCAGTAGGGTGCAGCAGGTTGAAGATGAGGCAGTAACTCATCCAAGAAGACATTGCAAAGTGGTCGCGGTATGTCATGAATTAGCAGAAGTTAGAATTCATGGACTGGTCATTGAGTCGGGTCCCAGTGGTTTAATGCTCTTAATGCTCGTTCGCCTTGTAATCATAATGTCCTGTGTTCGAACCGTGGGGGTGGATGCGTACTACTGAAGAGTCGCGAACTAGGATGAAATAGCTGCCCAGTACTCCCTGGCAGGTTTTCCAATGGTTCTCTAACTGATGTCAGCTCATGATGAAATCCTCCAACTAACCAAACAAAATCCCTACAAAAAAAACCAATACTTGATAAAACAATATCTAAAAAATTTAAGATTGACGTTACAGTATCTTATGGTAACTATTTAACAAGCACTGGAATTTTAGTCCAACAACGATTTACTTTTATATGAGGCATAAAGACAAAAACGGATAACAGACTCAACATTTTCTTGTCGAATGATCTTAATTACCAAGTAGCATAAGTCATCAAATGATTCACCGACTTGAATGACTAAACAGGGAGATATTTCTCAAAAAGCTTCATACGCAAAACCCCCTTCATAAATTTAAAATGAGAAAGAAGATAATCAGTGGAACAGAATGAAATGGGTCCATTTTATTTCATGGTTTATCTTCATCTGCGTACAACTTGTAACCTTTCATACAACCAGTTATAATACAGTCTTAACATGCCAGATGCCACCTCAGTTCATCAACTGCAAAGAAAGCTAAGCTAAAGCAGTTACCATAAGAATTTTCAACTCAATCTATGTATCGGGGAAATCTTTGTTCAGTCTCTCTGCCTTCCATTGCCCTCAACTCCGACTTAGGGTAGTTTGCTATCCCTGTGACATCGCATAAAACTATAAATATTACCCTTATTTGCACTCTTATTCTTAGCTTTATTTTCACTATCACATTGTATTATAAGTGCATATTCTAATCAAAGTTTCACATTTCATTAAAAACGAAACACTATTTATTATGTAGTCGCTATGAGACAATCATTATTTCCTCTCTCTCTGCTGTCTTCAGATATACACGTTCTACTTCCATATTCATAATGATTGGCTGCTTAGATTGTTTAAATACTTGCGTGAATTTATCCTTGTTATTATATTTACGATCACTATGATTATTATCGATGAGTTCACATGCCTGAACTTAAATCCTATTATTCACACTGATTTCAGGTATCTATTATTAATTTTTTTATGACACAATTTTAAAACCTGATGAAGAGGGACTGACAATACATGCCCGCTTAAATTGTATTCTCTAATAGTTTTCTTAATCCGTAGGAATCAATCCTCGTGTGGAAAATATTGTAAAAGCATTACAGTGAATAAGACTTGTTGAAGGCTTTCGCCCTCCCACCTGATTTCATCTAACCAATTTCCCGGAAGGAATAAGTCGATTTTATGTATATCTCCTGTACTTTGAAGTTTCTGTAGCGATCACGTTGATTTTCTTGTGTAAGGTCACTATTTCCACGCTGAATCCTCTTTTTTCTTCCTGGATGAAGACAGACTAACGAAACTAGATGAGGTCATCTTGTAGTCTTTTATGAAGTAATTTCCTTGTAAAAGAAGTTTTAGGGGTAGAAGCATTGAAAAAATTGGAGATATTGCCTAGGCAGTTAGGTAAGTCAGTTAAACCTGAAACAGCTTATCATCTTTATGTTTGATTTCACTACTAAGTTGCTACAATAGTCCTTACAAGAGGAATTTGTCTAACAATAGAATGCCAAAACTGCACGATAACCTGTTGCTTTAACTGTTTTTATATTATATGCAGCTGAAGAGAAACTACGAAACACAGTGAATTGGCGTTATTCTTCTCTAATGTTTGCATTTTCTCTTTTCAAAACTATAAGCATACTGGGATGTATTATCTGGCTTAATTACTACACTATAAAAATGGTCGAAGAAAGTACTCTAAATGATATTTGTAGCTTGACAGTGTCATTAACATCTATACCGTTTCCTCCTTTTTACTATAGAATATAACCTGTATTTGTTTGGTTAGGATTAGTATAAACATTTCATCACTGGTTCTACTAGATAGCAGTGATTTCAAGAGACTCCTAGTAATCTATGCATTTCCAAGCTCTTAATGATTACTCTTTGTTTTGACAGCAAATTATTTAATTTAGTCAGGAACTTTCCAGTCTGATTCACGTGGCATTGTATATCATTCAAGTGCCTTCAAAAAATATGCTTATAACATATGTATTCAGAATATTTGAACTAATCATAAACAATGATATGACCAATTATTTGTAGTTTTGTATATTTCTGTACATTTATTCATATACATGAAAACCGTTGCCTCACAACTGTTTGATTTAGTCTCTGTCCATATCATTGGTTTAGCAATACTGGTAAATAACTGTCTGAGTTGTAGAAATATTGCGAACGCCTACATAAATTTATACTCGATCTCTTGTGTTCACTTAACACTGCAATACAATAATACCTCTGATAATAGGGGATAGCATAACTAGGAAGGGCAGATAAAAGAGGAAGGGGGTAGAAAGTTAACAGCTTCTGATTTAAATTGTATCGATCGATATCCTGTCATTTTACTTATCTGGTAGTGTTTTTATATTTTAAATACAGATACATAGACTACGGATGGATTAGACAGTAGACAAGATGAATGGGACAGAGTATCACTTATCGATTAATTAGAGAATATTTATTTCTCTGATCATAAGCAAGAAATTAACCAATCAGTTTTCTTCAAATTACATATTCATTGTACATCGTTGTATACATGAAATAATATTTCGTAAGAGAAATCAGGGGTATTTTGAAACTAACATAAATAAACCTAGACATATGATAGTATTGTGTTTATATACTACTTGAGGTGGTAATTATTCATACTTGCTTTCTCATGTTTAAATTGCATGGAAAATTATGAGTTGAAGAGAGAGAAATAAAAACAGATTACACTGGTGTAGTGGTGTGATACAAACAATGTGTTCCAATGGAATATTATTCTCACAGTTCAGTACTGCATTAGCAACAGAATAATATATATAACATTCTATTTTATGTCGTTTAGTTTAAACCAAAATCACACACTCACTGATTGGTTAAAGAATATAAAACTGTATATGTATAAATAGCAGTTCAATCACCCGAAAATATACCTTGGCTGTCGTGTCTTGCCTTCTGCTGTTACACTGGTAGCAGCAGAAAAAAAGAGACTCATGTTCAACTGATCGTTTTGTTTTACAATAAAGATACGTCACGCGTTGTTTTAATTTTCCTTTATTTATAACAATAGCCCGCATTAATTATTATTAATACTATGCCTTTCCTTTTGGTGAAAGAAGATTCATTCACATACTACTCCAAAAAGAAAATTAAAACAAATGATTAAAATACTGGCTGTAGTTTTCATTTATTGAAATCATTGACCACTTATCTTATGGATTACTTAAAGAATAAAAAACTTAATTGGAAATTGGAACCATTCCCAGAATTATTGCAGTTTAAAACAGTTGAATCATCCTGTTCTGGATTGTTATTCAATCATCCAAGGCCAGTGGATTTTGTTAGATCTCAAGTAGGTGTAAACTTTTTTCCTTGAATTTTGTGTAAATTCTATGACGTCTGGGAAGAAGATATTCCATAAATAAGTAATTCATTTACAATTTAAAGTTTCTTCTTAAATTGATATTTAATTAGTGTAAGAAAACGAGATTTCTAAGGATGATTACTGCTTTATTATTATTATTAATATTACTTCCTTGGCTTCCAAGTAGAATATTAGGCCTCAGAAGCACATCACAATTTGACGCTGTTCTCTGCAGTTCTCTTTAGATAGTTTCACAACTCAACATAAGCTTTCATTTTCTTCTCACAATATCTCCATTTCATCCTTACACACCTCACTCGTTGCTTCCGACTTGGGTTCCATTCAGAGGCCTGTGTGGTGCTTGGTGTCACTCAGCGGTTTCCTCAGAGTGGTGTGTCCAATCCACCTTCACTCCCTTCTGTATATTCGTTGGGCGATAGGTTCGTGGTTCCTTCCTAGCAGCTGCTGATGAAAGTCTTCAACCTGACTGAAACCGCAGAAGTCAATGAGTTCTATAAAGTTATCTGTACAGAGTAAGAAGTTTAGGAAAATTAACGTTACCATGTTTTAAACATACCTAAGCGCTGTGCTTTGAAATATGTTAAATTGATGAACTTTATTAATGTATTTCTAGCTGAACTTTCTAAAGTAGTTTCGTTTAGTTTGGGAAGTTAATCACAGTAGACTGATAAAGAACTGACTATTATAAATCGCTTATTTATATGAGAAACGAAAATAAGGCCTAATCATTGAAGTGAAATTGAGATCTGGTCATCACGTAAATCTTATATATTTTATCTACCAGAGGGTTGAATCAGTATTTCGGAAGCTGCTACCTGCATTCCTGTGACCATAAAGGATTTCTTTCCACTTGTAGTCAACATCTATATATGCAGCTATATGCATCAAATATTACCAAAAATAGTAACCTAAGAAGATAAAGAAGACTAAATAATTCTACTTATTAGTCCACCTCTAGTATGGTGTAATTTCTTAGTCTAGCCTATGATATCAGCTATCTATTTATTCCCTTCAAAAGGCATCTAATATAAAGATTTCTTGCCTTCATGTTTCATCAAGTTAAGAGTGACAAATAATGCCCATCAACAGCATTTTAAGGCAGTACAAAAGCATAAAATCTCTGCATTGAAATTGTAAATTTCGAACAATCGGATTCTATTCAAGAGTTTAAATCGATAGTTATTTAAAATAATCACAGTGTTTAAAAACTGAGACCAGGCTTTCCTGAACGTAACGTTGTGTATGTCACAGCTCTTTCAATATAATCACTTGGAATTACACATTTTAAAGCATAAAGACAGTCTGTTCATTCCGGTTATTTTGCCATTGATATATCTGACCGAACAGATCAGCCTCATTTTGGCATATGACTGCCCAACTAGATGCCTCAATATTAGCAAGGTTAAGAACTCAAAGCTGTTTGTTTGGTGGTGCCTATAAGTTGGATTCAACATGTATGTTCAATCCCTCCGAATGACCTTGCTCCCAAGCAAAGAAAGGATGGGAAAGGAAAGACGGGTATTTATTATCGTGAGATGAGTGTGGAAATCTACTGCTCTCGGCAGAAGGAACACTATCCAAATTTTCAACACGAGCTTTAGGTCACTATCTCTATATAGTTAAGAGATTTGGTGCGTCAAGTAGTCTGACAGTCCTAGGCTGGTAGCAACTTCTTGAGATTCTCAGACTAAGATGAAATCTCCATTCAATACACTCTGGTTTTTAAAACTGGTCTAGCTAAAGTCAGTCTGCGGGGAAGTCTGATCCGAATGTAAATCAAGGTATCAGAAGACGAAGGCTGATATGGAGATCTTGTATGGGGGGGGGTGAAAGCTTATGGGCAGTTGAAGAGCCAGCCAAAAGAGATAACAGAGAATATGGTGAAATGGAGAGGTGCTTCTGAAGGTCTGTTTCACTACAAGCCCAAGGGAATAATTATATGTGGCGGATTGTTAGTTTATGTTTGTGCATAGTTCTGTAAAGAAGCTGATAGAGTTATTAGGTAGCTTATATTATGTTTAAATTAGGGTAAAAAAAACTTAAAAAATAGTATAGAAAATAATATCACTTATTGACATGCTTAGATCAGAAATAGGCGATTTAATAATTCTTCCTTACCATAGGTGTATTAATTTTCGTAAGTTGACTGCGTTATTTCATTGCACAGGGTACACTTTGAGGCTTTGATAACATACTTCTACGTTAGGAGTATGCAAATTTTGAATAGCGTCAATTGAAGGGGTGAAGCTAAGGTATTAAATATAATAAAAAGCAGGAAAACCAACGTGATATAGAAAATGATGAACAACAAAATGAGGAATCTTGATTTGAAGATACTGACAAATGATAAACCACAACTTTTCGAATATGAAGCTTTAGCCTCTTGATACGATATGACGAACCTAGTCTTTTGCTTATATTCGGCGAAATGTCATCGTGGAGTAAACGTTACTCAACTTTGTTTTAACACAGACTTGACCATAGATCAATTTGATCTAAAGAAATTCTGAAAACCAGAGGGTGTTGGCTAATGGTTTCATCTTAGCTGTCAGAATATGTGAAGAGGCTGTTAACGCAAGGTCTGTACCTAACTGCTTATATCTCCCTAACGCTTGCACTTATTTTAATGACCTCACTATTCGTTTTGTAATCTTACGGTAGTAGGATTATTCCGTTATTAATGATGTACACGCACTGGTAGGTAGTCCCTAACTAACCAATACAGCGGTTATTACTTTTTCACTCTTTCTTTAGATAAAAGAAATTCGTGTTAATCTTTGTTCTGCGATCGATTAAATCTTCACTTACTTCATCGATGAGTTTTTTGATTATACTTTTTGTTTTTGAAGTAACACTTACACTTAATAGTCTACTATTAATTGATACTCTAATGTAAAAAGTAAGTAGGCGTACTACTTTGATGTCTTACACTAGATTGACAGCTGTTTTCATACGCGAATATTAAACTAGGTGTTTAACTAATCAATAGTTAATAATAGGATTTCGTGTAGATTTGGATTACTTTCGATGTAGATTTCGTCTGAGGGCTTGTAAGGCCAAGCTCAACAATCGCCTAACCTACTGGTTTAGAGTTCCATGACATGTGGCATTTCGAGGTGAAGAAGATGCTCATCGAAGACACTGGTTGGTGACAGCGCTGTATCACCAATTAGCGGAAATTTGAATCCACGCGTCATTGAATTCCAGCCCAAATGACTGAGTTGTCGATGAGTTTAGCCTAGTAACCTGAAGCTTGTGTTCGACCTCTTGCGAGGCCTGTGATGAGCACTGTTGAAGAGTCCAAGATTAGGACGGAAGAGCTGTCAAGTGCTTTCTGGTTTTCAATGACCTCCAACTGGTACTGGTTCTTGGTGAAACGATTAGGCATAAGAACTAGCGGTCGATGTACTCCTAAACCTCCCCCAGTTTACTATCTTGTAGCAAAACCCGGAAAACACGGAAGTTTGTGTGTGTGAGGCTAGTAATCTCACGTTTTAAAAATAGAACCATCGCTACTGAAACTACAAAGCTTGAAGCCTTGGATTCCACTCGCAATGCAAGCAGTGAAAATCAAGAAATAAAAATAAAAAATTTACAGCACTGATTAGTAAACAAAGAATATCCTTTTTCAATAAATTCGTCATCAGGTTTTACATTTATATGACCATAATAATTGAAGAATTATTGTTATTGGCAACGTTAATGTTTTAAATTACATTGAGTCAGTCGTATCCATATGCTGCATTTCAAAAGCTTCAGTAAGAGATAATATGCATTTAATATAACAGTAAACCGAATAAAAGATAAATTAAAGGATGTAACACAGGATTCATCAATTTATAAGTTCTGTGTCAGGCCTGGGTGGCAATAGTGGCTGAACTTGTTTCTTTTCGACTCAGAGCACTGGCTGTTTTAAGCGAGTTGAAACGGACCATACTATTTGGATTATTCGATACCTAAAAACCTTCGGAATTTTATCTGGTACTTGACAGATTATAGAAAAAGATTCTTTGATGCTGGCTTTGTGGCTTGTTTGAGCTAGGCGATCTAATATAGAACTGTTGATACTTTTAACAACACCTTATTCGACCATATTGGTAAGGGTTCTCGAACACAAGAAATCAAGTTCCCAAAGCGACAATAAATCTTTAACTATTATGGTCATGGAAATGTAGACCTTGACGACAAATTTATCGGAAAGAATATTCTTTGTTCACTAATCAGTCTTTTAAGAATATAAAGTTTGTTAAGTTTCACCTCAGTTGAAATAGTTTCAGAAACTAAAAATACTAAAGTTTCGGCCTCGGCTGTAATGTTATAGGTATTTATAGACTCCAAGAAAGTAGACTAGAGCCTATGAAATGACCTGCATGGGTTTTCTTAAATACAAAGTAAATTGTATGAACTGTAATAGATATGACATTGGCCACAGTGGGCGTCCCCTTCGAATTAGAACCCAAGAACACAAATCAGCCGTGAAAAGACACGATATATATTCTTTAGTATCAATGCATATAGACAATAATGGACATCAATTTGATTGGGATAATGTCAAAATCCTAGACAGAGGAAACACCAAAAGTTCAAATGAATTCCTAGAAGCCTGGTACTCAAACGAAAATGCAATTAAAATACACGTTAATATAGACGAAATATACCAACTAATAAAAAGTAAATCATGTGACCAGAAAGTTTAAAATCCAAGCTACTAGAAAATGGTCAATACATATGTAAAGATGGTTACCGGGAGACGCAATTATATCACTCATGGAAAATTTAAATCATTTCACTTTATGCTAAAAATTGCGCTGAAAGGCGATGTTGTCCAGAAGGACGACGAAAGCTCCGCAACTAAACCAACCAGCTCAGTGAACACTACTAATTGCATATCGACTTATCATTACATCCTAAGATGTGTATGAATTTTCTAAGGCGTATAAACGGTTTTGTCAGTATACATGTTAGAGGAATATAATTCACTTAGCTAGAATCTGATGTTTTGCTTTCTACAAAATCTCAGTATGGCTACCCATTGCGATACAGTGTAATAGATAGAGAATTAGCTTTCAAAGTTCTCTGTGAGCATCATTAATCTGGAAAAGCATCAGTTTGTTTTTATAGTTCTTACAAATTTCCAAACCTGTGCTTTACTTTTATCGTATGAATGTCGCTGGACTATCATTGTTTACAAATACATCGTTATCACTTCAATAGCAGGCATTTCAGCTGTGATCTCACACAGCAGATGACAAAACGTTCGTTGTACACTGTTGCACCGTCATTATACTGACATTTTAAAAAATACAACAAAACAACTTGAGCTTATTGAACAAGTTGAGACTTTTTAATATCATCTTTGATGGAACAGAGGAGATGATAAGGTGTGTTTTCCTTAGAGAAAAGAAGTACGAAGAATTTGAAAGTAAAACACTAACTGTAATTTGCCCTGTGTGTTGTTTTTGGAATGTAAAGTACTCCAGTCATTGTATCTTATTCGTAGTCATAAATTTTCACTAACAGTACAGACATCTTAATCGGCTATGGGTCGTTGTCTAACTGGGGTGTGATTTCAACATTTGATGCCAAAATGTTATTTATTTTGTAAAGGTGGTCTCTTCTTTCAACTTAGCTGACGATTATTTTAAGTCAGCTGATGATTAGGTAATCATAGCAACTAACTGAGAAGTCTATGCATTAAATTTCGTATATAATGCTGTTATAGCTCAGATATTAACCACTGATTAGAACTAGCTTACGAAGGGGTGGGGGCTTCCCTTTATAATGTACTTATCAAGTAGTTAGGGAAATACTTTATTGAGCTGAAACTAACAGCATTTATTTGCTTACCGTTACTCTATATGCAGTGTATGAAAGTTTTTAGTGTTTGGTGGGCACATTAGTATACCAGAAGCTCTTTAAGCTAAAGTTATTAACGGTGGAATTATTAGCTTCATATCAATCAAAACATCAACAAATATGTCAGACAGTGTGCAAAGTATCAGCTATCATGGTATTGAAAGAAACTTCATATTCACAAAAGTGTTTCCAATGATTATGGATCTTATTCTTTGGAAGTGGTCGGATATTATGACATTAGTTCCAAAAAAATATATTCCCAACTGTGACTGCCTAGGTCTCCGTGAAAAAAAACAGTTGAAGAAAACTTTTCAAAACCAGCACCCTACCAACTCGAGGATCACCAGCGTAGTTGTACTGCACCTCATACCCTCAGTAAGAAGGGCAATCTGAACATTTTTCTAATCACTTTCAAGAGACGAAGAGGAGGAGACAGTTGACATCGTTCACACAGATTATTGGCATATTGTATACTTCTATAAAAAGGTTAGACTTACACTAAGAACCATTTGCCAATGTGATCCTGCTACAATGAATGAAGTACCCTTGGTTATGAGCAAGAATATTTTCGACGTTGCTAATAATCTCTAAATTTGTGATGCATTACAGCACGATAAGGTCAACTTATGTATTTTATTGTACTTGATAATGATACATGGAACCTTACCTTTAGTTGCACTAATGACTCTCTGTGTGCTTCAGTCGCACAGCAGTAGAATGATCGCAAACCATGCACGTGGTTCGGGGTTTGTTCCCTGGCCGACGAGCTTCTTTACCTCTCGCTAAGCCAGTAATAATAATAATAATACCGCTGTGCCAACGACTCATCTATCAGGTAATTGCTTTTTATTTCTACTTGACTTGCTCTTTGTTTGTGAATTGAAATTAAGATTAAATATAATTTTTCTGATGTTGAATGGCACTTTTCTTTTCCTCAGTAACTGTCTGTTTCAAACAGCATTTTCACTGCTACAATAAAATCTTGTATCTATTGAGTAGTATTGAGTTAATTCAGCTTTTTTTCGCCCATAATTTGTTTTTGTATGTTATGTCTGTAAATGCTGATGTGTTGTAATGATTGGGTATAAAAATATGAAAAGAATGTTATTTCTAAAATACTTAAGCCCTAATGCATGGAATGATTTAAATTATTAGGAAATTATCAATTTTTCTGTTCTACACTTTGCTGTCAATCTATGACAGTTGTGATCAATCACTGACAGGACAAGGTTGTGTATTTTTACTTCTGGTATAATATTTGTGTCAATAAATTGTAAGTGAGTTCCACAGTTCATTCAACTTACCAACTTTATTTCAGTCCTATTGTTAACGAAGTTAAAATTAATTTTTTTGAATTCTAGGGGGAAGAGATTGTTTTAACTCACCAATTACGACTGTTACATTGAATTTGAGCAATTTTAAAAGGTCAGTGATAACTGGCTGTCCATTTCATAGAGCAAAGTGCAAGTGGATACCAGTACTAATAACTTCAAGACTGGTATTGGCGCAAATTACGTCTGTAAAACAGTTCCATACTAAACTTACTTCAAGATGTGATAGAGTATGATGTTTTGATCATTAGTTATTGACATTCTAGTATCTTTCTTGACTGTCTGCGTTTAAGCGTTGTGTGAAAGAGATTTCGGTGCCATTGTAGGAGTCGTCTTCTGTGCTTCTGCAATTAAAAGTAAACTATGCTTAACTTACGATGATTTCTGCATTCTGAAAAACTAAATCATCATTTGAGTGAGGTTTAAATAGCGAATCATAAGTAATAATATTAAAATTGTCAGTCCTTGTTCCTTGTGTTCCCAGAGGAACATAGAACTTCAGCGGAACACATTTATCCTACTAAGTTCTCTACTATGCTTTTGGGTTGCTTGCAAGACTGACAGAAAGCTTTCATTTCCTCCTCACATCATCTCCTCCATGTTACTCACGTCCATCTAGTCGCTTTGCATTCAGGTTCCTCGTGACGACCTGATACCATTCAGTGGTTTCCTAAGAGTGTGTTCAATCTGTCTCCATTTCCTTCTGTATACTTGTTGGGTCAGCCGTAGGTTGTTGGCTGGTTCACTGCCCAGCAGAGTTCCTTTTTACTTATCGTTTCCAGCCGGTCATCTAGCATTAAGTACCCATCCAGCAAAGGCAGTTGTTTGTGACAGTCTGGAGATGCTTCTGGTGATTAACATACCAACTCTCTGAGACACATAGAATTCCAGGCTTGATACCATTAAGAAAAATTGTGTCTTTTTCTTTGCACTAAGTGCTGTAGATCTCCAAATTGATCTCATTATAATGTACAGCTACTTTAATTTCTTGATCCCAGTTTTGACATGCTCGTTCATGCTATTTGTAGTTAAAAGTAATAGTTAAGGATTTATTACCATTTTCAAAATGTTAATATTATGGACTAATGATATTTGTCTCACTATATAATGTCCTATAAAGAAGTCTTAAAGTCTTGTTGATTTTGGATTAATGCCATTTGAAGTGAGCTACTTAAGAACTCACTCCTGAACTCAGCCTTCTCATACATATCCGCTCATAGTACTGACACAGACAGTGTCTGAAGGTTATCGTGATATTGATTATTTCATAGTGGTTAGCAGTGGAATCCAGGATACGCGTTTCATCCTATTTCGGAGGACTCGTTAGCTGTTTGTGCCTGTACCCCAGTGAATGGTGGTGTTCCTAATGAGTCTTGAAAAAAAAAACCCAATTGTTTCCAATACTAGAGCATTGTCGTCTAGACCACTGAATCTCAGTGGAAACACCACCATTATTCGATGAGGCTGACAAGTTCCAAGTAGGGCGGTGTGGACATCTTGGGTTCCACTGCTAGCCACCACCAAACAAAGAAAGAATGATTTTATCAATTAGTCTATTATTTACTTGTGAAAATATTTAAAATGTATTTCAAAACATAAGTTGTAAAAATGTTTTTTTATCAGATGGTTCGAGGCAATCTGCAGGAAGCCTTGAACCTCGGCTTTGTGCTTGTTAGCACTCATCAGTCAGCACAGTGTACCTGCATTCTTAAAGGAATTCATGTCATCTATGATATTTGAACTCGTGCCTGTAGTCAAAGACGTTACTATTGAGCTGTTCGGTTTCGCGATTGACCTTCTATAGAAATCTATCAGATATACTGATTGAACACTACGTAACTGTTACCATAAGTCTAGTCCTTTGTTGTCGTTCCAAATTGCAAACTTAACTGATAGAATTCAGTCTACACCAGACAAAAGGCTAGACGCATGACACTAGCTACCTACTGTTCAATTAAAGTAAATGTTCGCTTTTGTGGGAAACTGAGTTCCTCAGTTAATAAGAGTATCTTTTAGCTGTTTTCTTTTTTGAAGCCAAAGTTCTGTAACCAACTTCTTTGGGATAAGAATAATTTCAAATTATATCGGAATAATTACGTAAGTTTTGCTTTTCAGCTTCTTTTTTGACTGTCATACTGCTAAAAGTGATATAACGCTTTCCATTTTTCTCCCTTCCTCTTTCTTGTTTATGAATTTCAGTGGGAATGGTTTGCACCGAAATACTTCACTATCTATCGTGTATTATTAGCAATTGTTCTTTTCATTTGGCTTATATGGGATATAACAAGAGAGACAATTAAATATTTCGATAATGTTGGTTATAGATGGTTCACATATGCAACTAATTGGACATTTACAATCTTTGTACTACTTCATATACTACTGGCTATCTACTGCCTAATTTATAATATTAAATGTAAGTTATTTTTTATTAAATATATAAAAACATAATGAAAAGAAGACGAATATACTTTTTTTGTTGTTATTATACTATTGATCAAGGTGTGTCAGTCATGTGGTAAAGTGCTTGTTGCTTGTTTTCTTGCTCGTTCGACTGCTTTTTACTTAGAAACTGGGGAATATTGATTTTGTTTTTTTTCTTTTGCTACTTACTCTGTTTACTGGTACATTTATAGTGATGTTTTATTTTAGTTTTTTTAAGTTCTCAAATGAACTGGGTGGAGGAAAATTGAACTTTATTTTTTTAGACGGTTATATTGTATTAGAGATAGGTATTGTTTATTATTATTATTTCTTAGGGTGAGGTTTAATATTACATGTTACTTGAATTCGACTAGTATGTAGATCAGCTGCATTTATAGGCGCGGTACATTTAGCCAGTATAGTCTAGTCAAATATGAAAGACAGTGTGGCTGTTACATGTTTTTTTAAATTTCCTTCACGTTCCCTAGTGGAACATAGGGCTTCAAGCTTGTGGCTTGAAGTTTCTGTAGCAGTGCTTATTTTACAGGATGGGGTAGCTAGCCTCATGCCCAACCTTTCCTCTTCACCACCGTTTTTTTCTGGCTTAGCGAGGTAAAGGAGTGCGTCGGGCGGGAATCGAACCTCAGACCATGTGCATGGTCGGCGATTGTCCTAACCACTATGCCACCAACGCACACTGTTACATGTTACATCAGTTCGAATTACATGTCATTAAGAGATATGATTCAAACTAAGACCAGATTAAAGACTAAATATCACAATTAGTTCTGAAAGTACTCTGTAAATATCGATCAGGCCAACTGTTTTGTTCTAGCTTGGGAATTAGTCAAAATCCCTATGAAATCCGAAATCTCAGTATCAACCTTGAGTACATTAGAGGATACTGGATGAATTTCCTGAAGCTCTAAATAGAAGTCGTGGCTGGTGAGGTCCACCATATAACGTCTGAATCTTATACTCATCGGTAGCATTGGTTAGTGTTAGTGCTATATCACTCCAAATGGGAGAAATTCGAATTCAAAGATCACTGAATTCCAACTCAATTGTTGAATGATCAATAGGTTGGTCTTGTGACTAGAAGGTTATAGGTTCGCCCTTAATAGAGGTGACGAGCGCTTACCGATGATAAGTCCCGAATTTGGACGAAACATAGGTCCAATACTCCTTGTTTCTTGATAATTCTGCAGCTGAATTCAGTTTATAAGGAAATATGCTGAGATTCAGTTTGCTTTTTATGTCTAGATATGATCTTAGTGAATATAAATCAGTTAAAAGAAAAAGGAAATTTTGGATATTTAAGCGAAATGAAATTTATGAGTGACAGTTTTATGAAGCACACACAGTATTCAGATGTGAAAACAGTTACTAGAGTACAATATCATAAACAAACTAAAAAATTAAGATGACGGCTTATTAAACACGCCATTTAACTATAACTAAAGAAATTATAATATAAATATGGATAATGAATGGTCTTTCAAATTAAAAAAAAATAGGTCAGCAAATTCAATCGAAGAAAAACCAATGACCTCATGATGAAAATGGATAAACACTTTAAAAATTGAGTTTGAAGAAGGTAGCATATGAATAACTATCATAGAAATTAGCGAAAATCACAGTCAATCGATCAATAATCTAAGACTAAAAGAGAATATCAACTAACCAATACCCTTTCGTTGAATAAATGTGAAAGAACACGGAAATCAACAAAGATGTTTTCCACATCGTAACTATTCCATAAAGCTGTACAGTTACCTAAGGGTAAAAATGTATAGTGTTACTAGCCAACAAGGATCAGAGGTTACTGTCAGTTGGTAACAAAGATAAATTAAGTTGTATGAGAAGTGGCAGTGAATGGAAAATAATGAATACTAACTTCTGCCAATTCACGACATAGCATGATCATTTCACAATGTTTCTTCTTCGATGAGTTACTGCCTCACCTTCAACCTGATGTACCATACTGGTCACGGCTTCCCACTGGAACCCCAGGTAACAGTCTGAATAGAGCCAGTCGCTAGTGAGCATCAGGTAGTTTTCAAGTATTGGATTTGTAGGGATTCTGTTTGATTGGATGGAGGATTTCGTCATGAGCTGACATCAGTTGGAGCTCGCCTTGTAACCAGAAGGTCGTGGCTTCGAACCTCTGGGGTGGGTAAGCACTGATGAAGAGTCCCAAACCAGGACGAAACAGCTGCCAGTACTCCTAGGTTTTCTAGTGGTTCTCTAACTGATATCAGCTCATGATGAAATCCTCCATCCAATCAAACAAAATCCCTACAAATCCAATACTTGAAAATAATGAATAATCTTAAGTAATGGAGAAAGTGTACGACGAATTCAGTAGTGAGATGATTAATAGGAAACTTAAAGTTGGTCACAAAAACAGCAATTACATAGAACTTATTATGCGCCACATTAGGAAAAGAAAATTGAAACTAAGTTTAGGGTGGCAAAAGAGGCTATGTAAAACGTTCCTGAAGGTAATGTTCACGTTGCTTCTCATCGATGGTGAGAAAATCAGCTGTGGGAAGAAGATGAAGGCGAAATTCTTGTAGTGGCTTTGATCTTGGTATAAATGACTGTGAATGAAGTCTCCATCAGTGTGACATGACCACAACTACACTTTAATTTATCCATATTTGCAATCACCATTTTTACTAATAATCCCTAAATAAATGTATATCTTCGCAGAGAAGTTACGAACGGAGAGAAGTTTTTGCCAACCTATATGTTCTCATTTCATATGCCATGAGGATTTTTCATAAGCTGAAGAACTGGAAAAGCCAGTGAGTAACACGGAGACAGATTTCGACATCTGGTTCAGAAAAATAAATCGGTAACTGAAATTTAATTATAGTTGTATCTCAATTGAAATGCAGTTATAATTAATTGATCTATTCCACAACTCACAAACGTTTCACAGATATTGTCAGTAACTGAAATCATACTTCATGTTTAATCATGGTTTGATATCTCTAAATGAAAACCAGGAAGTACTAGACAGCCATTTCGTCCTACTTTGGTACTCTTCAGCAGCACTTGCCCACGGCCTGACCAGGGATAGAACCCACGATCCTCACTTTATGAGGCGATCTCTTTGACCATTCAGCCAGTTCCTGTCAATTCGCAATTTTAGCGATATCAAACCATGATCAAACTTGAAAAAAAGTAAATCTCTACAAACCGACTCTTGAAATTACATCTGTTCGAGTATTCAACGTTGAAATGACAGAATTCCATCAACCTGATGTGCACTATCGTCGCTGATAATTTTGAACAAATTCATATAAAGTCTCATCTTTAGTATCTGTCAGATCCCTTTGAAAATATTGATTAGAATACCGTTGAAATGTTTGTCGTTTCATTTGGTTTTTCTGCTATATATCATCCTTATCTGTATATTCATTCAATTCATGTTTGACTTAGCTGCACAACTCCTGTTTCTTTTACTTTTTATTTCACTGCAAAAAACAAGTAGTTTAACTTGAAGGCTCTTTTCAGACGATTTTGAATTCTTTAGCAATGCAATCGCATTTATGAAAATTAAATAATCGAAAACAGCCTCTTCACTGAGCTATTCATTTTGTTTTTGCTTTTTCTCATTAATGTTTATTTTATACCAAATATATTGATTTGTAGAGGAAATTAGGTGTGTTCATAACAAGTACGCAGTGATTTTATCTTTTACAGTGCGACATTCTAATTATATTTTACCCTTTTCGTATCGATTTTAAGTAAGACATCGATATTTATTGCTTTAAGTATTCAGTGCTTTTTTGCATTATTTAAAATTTGATGTTGACTATAATGTGCTTCACATCATTGTCTACCTTTGGTTAGAGATTTACCAGTATGTTGATTGCAGAGTATGTGAAAGTGAACACAATCAGTATCAGATTTTGTGTTTTGTGTCATTTGACGTTAAATTGCATTATGTTACAGAGTTTAGATACATGTAATGAGAAGAAGGGATTAATTTAACGATGCACTATCATCGGCATCTTTACATACACGGAAAGCACCTCAGTATCAATAAAAAGGTGTTTTGTACTATGCAATTAGATCATTGAGTTTTCCTGCTCTCCAAATGGACATAATGTTGATTCTTTTCTTTTAGGATTACTGACTTTACACGCCATGCCACTGAATGGAACCCGAATGGCAAGTGATGAGTTGGGTGTCTGAATTCGATATTAAGAGGGAAAGGAGATGAAGGCTTGTGGGTAGTAGTGGAGTAAGCCGGAAATGATTGTGATGAACCGAGTGGAATACAGATATATTGCTGGGTCTCTAAATCTCACTCAGAACGTAAGAAATCAATAACATTGACTAGTGATAGTTTGTATTCTGTAATTTGTTTAACAAGATAAATAAAATAACCTTTTCATTAAGTGAAAAATAAAGTACCCTTCAGTGATAGTTTTAATCAAAAAGATATAATATATACACCAGGACACCTACCTTCGCTCTATCCTGAAGGTAAAATGATAGCCAGAAAGAATTAGCAGCAAGAAACTCTATCTGGGAACAAACCAGCGAAGAGCCGATTACTCAACAAATATGTAGGAGAAAATGGAGATGGATTAGGCATACATTAAGGAAGCCATCGAATGAAAACGCGCGCCATGTCATTGCTCAGGTGGAATCTCTATTAGAAGCGACAATTTTCTCATTGATATACTTGAAATGTGCGTCGGTGGCATAGCGGTTAGGATGCTCGCCGACCATGCATATGGTCCGGGGTTCGATCCTCGGCCGGCGCACTCCTTTACCTTACTAAGCCAGAAATAAAGCTGGTGAAGAGGAAAGAGCAACCCCATCGTGTAAAAATAAACACTGCTACAGAAACTTCAAGACTCTAGCTTGAAGCCCTACGTTCCACTGGGAACGTGAAGGAATATATATATATATATATTCTTGAAATATATAAAGTGTACTTAGGAATAGGTTAAGACCTTCAGACTCATTTATCATGCACTAGAAAAGTGTCATACAAATTGGTTGCAAAATTATTTAGATTAATACTGATCAATATTTAACATAACATATTCTTAGACACTTGATACCAAGTGAAAATTAGACATATGTAGAAACCATAGTGATATTGAATGTTTTTAAAAAAATTCCTTCACGTTCCCAGTGGAACATAGGGTTTCAAGCTAAAGGCTTGAATTTTCGGTTGAAGTGGTGTTTTATTTTAACGGGAAGGAGTTGCTAGCCTCATGCCCGACCATCCCTCTTTACCAGTCTCATTACTGGCTTACCGAGGTTTGGGAGTTCGTCAGCTGAGGATGAAACCCCGAACCACCTGCGTGGTTGGCGTGCATCCTGCCGCTGCACCATTGAAGTACATACTGAATGTTTAGTCCAGTAAATTCTTGTTCAAGGTACTGATACCTTCTTCTTCAGTTCTTCTGTCTGTCATTCTACCCGGCTGGATTCTTGAAATTCGTTGATTGCTCTTATGACTGTCCTGTGTTTTCCACCCCTGTGTTCACGCCCATAGTTTGAGGTGAATATAATAATAATAGTAATTTGCTTTATTCCAGAATATACTAACTGAAGATGGTAGATGATTGTGGAAGGGACTGATTTCAAAAGGTAGAAATCTGGCAGCTACGGTTTCGAATCCTTTTATAGGGTTTGTAACTCACGTGTCAGCGATACTGTCAAAACCAGTGGATCTCTATTTCCGCCAAGCCATAGGCTACCGAGTTTCTGCAACACCTCTTATCTATCTGGCCGGCTGTCATAATCTGAAACTAGCCTCTTGATGACCTCTCACAAGGTCTCTGTGCCAGTTTCACATAAACTGCCGTTGACAATCTTTTCGGGACCTCTTAAAAGGGTTCTGAGGATAACTAACTTCATTCTCTGCTCTTGTACGCGAACCAGGTCCATAACAGCTTTATAGTACTTCTGAAGCGTACTCACACACCCCTCTTTAACGATCGGCAAATACTCATTATGTCTTAATTGCCTGTTTCTTATTATTACCTTCTTGCATCTCTTCTCCATTGACTTTTTTACTGTCACACAAGTTATCGCTACTTTTCTGAAGACGTCAGTGAGCATACTACTTATATCTAATTATAAGTAGAATGTAGTAGACAACTTTTATTTTTTACTAGTATCAGTTTACCTTTCACTGCAGTGTACATTTATGGTGATTAACTCTAGAAAGGGTAAAAAAATCACTCCAGTCAATCTGCACCGCACAAACATAACTTCCGAATTGTAAGTTGAACATCATGAATTACTAGAGAGCGTATCTGATGGTAAAATTTTCAGAACAAATAAAGGAAGTTTATAGTTGAACAGAAGCTCCAAATTTTATTCTTCTGAAAATAGGTTAAAATAGAAAAACAATTGTAAGGAAGGGAAGGCTTTTGAATACATATCAGGAAATATCATATGGTATAGAACAATATCCGAATAGATGTTAGAATTCATTAAATGAATAAAAATTGGCTTATAACATAGAATAGGATTTCATGTTATATTTAGGAAGTAAACAACAATTGAAAAGTTGACAAGGGGTTAGGAGATGTTTGTGATCATCTGACAAGTTGAATTCGCATTCAATATTTTGTGAACACAACATTATAGAACAGCTGATACAATAGAAATCAGATGAGTTTTTGACTTAATAAATATACAATCAAGTTTTTTTCATAAATTATCTTATCGTCCCGATAAAACTGAATAAGATTGAAAAGACAGAGTAAATTTCCTTTGTTCCTTAACACTCTGAATGGGACATAGGGCTTCAAGCTTTGAAGTTCCAGTAGATATGATGTTGTTTTTATGGGACGGGGTTACTAGCCCCTCATGTCAAACCTTTCTTGTTTTTCGAGCCTAATACCCTCTTGTAAACTAAGTGAAGTTTAGGCATGCATCAACCGGGAATTGAATCCAGAAGTCTCATGTGGTTAGTTAGCCATCTACCATTGAATCGCTGACTCACCGACCAGCCCCTCGACCGTGAGTTGAACCCAGACCCTCTACGTTATAGGCATCGATACTCATCATCATACTGTCGTCGAGCGCATAAAAGGAGAGAATACTGCTCGGTAACTGCTGATGTGAAACGATCTGCGTAAAAGTCTCAGTAGTGTTTTACAAAATGCTACTGGGAGTGAAATTCTTAAATTTAGTACTCGTCTGTATAATAATAATAGCTCATGAAAAGCTACATATGTAAACCCTTTTTCACTATAGGTTTCAAAACTTGCTTTATTTCGTTCTCCCCAGTTGTGTGCCACACATAGGCTTTTCTGATTTATTACCAGAAAAAATACATGGAAATTTTTATATTGTTAAAACTCTAATCGATCTGTGTGATAGAATGATAAATATAGTCCTGAGTGTTAACTTCTCGTTTATTAATTTTTCAACTAATATGTTGAATAAACAAATAAGCAATAAGTCACGTTTAGGTTGATTTCTATACACTGTATCTAATGAATGGTGGATTAATTCAGTGATTTACTGTCTGAATAGTATAATGAATTCTACTTTTTAAAGACATTACTTAGGTGGAAAATACCATACAAGTCACAGGTTGTTTAATCATTCACCTTAATATGTAAGCATTGTAATTAGTGTCTAAACGAAATAATATATAATAAAATCTACGTTATGATATTCGTTCTACTCCAATACTTATTGAGTATTGATGACCTCAGTGAAACTGGAACCCAGGAAGTGTTGCTCTCAAGGCTTTTTGCTTTAAATTATATACTACTGATTGATTAAGATGAGTAGTAGCATACCACTCATATCAAACAGCAGTACTTGCTGGCCAGATCAAGGTGATCTAAACACCTGATCTAAACAACCGTTTCGCTCTTTGTGGGCTGAGCTTATCAGTAGTGTACCCGGTTCGACTTAGTTCAGTGGGTGGAATCAGTTCAGAACACACAATTTCTGGCTAGCTACTTCTTGTTAAGTAACAAATAAATTACTTTATCATTGTTTGTGATAGAACTTTTTGATTAACGGATATCGTCAAATATACTTCATTAAAAAAGTCACATCACCTGTCACCAAAAAAGACGGAAAAATTTCAAAATTTTATGAAGTAGACGAGAAGTTTTGGTGAAGACTTATCTAGTTTCTAATGTTTTGCTTGTTCAATGTCTTCATGTCAGATATTAACTCTAAAAAGAAACAGTTTCTAGAAAGTCTACTCACAACTAATGTTGAAATCTTACAATCTCATCGAGGCACTTCTTCATTTCTTTTGTTCCAAGTGACAATAGAAAATGAATGATATGATAAAATGTAGATTTATTCATGCTCCAAAATCTGTTTGAGAGTCATTTAAAGCCAGGGAGCCCTAGACGGCTGTTTCAGCCTTGTTTGACGTACACATCTGTTACTTCATCTGGGTAGGAGACCACGACCTTCAGGTCACGTGGCCAGCCCACTGACAAATCACTTAATAGGCTGTAATTTAGTGAACCGGATATTCTAATCGTTATGAATTCGTGATGTATAACTATGTCATCAACAAATGTCTTCAATAACTCTGGCATAATGGAACTCACTAGACACTAATTCTCACTATAACTTCAAGACATGGATGGAGTCTCGAGTGAGGATTGCTGATGAGTTTCAAAATCGATAGAAACGGTTGTTCAGTGTTTTTTAGTTATCACTAATTTTATATCTCTCTTCCCTCTAAAGGAAATAAATGTGATTTTTTTTCATGACAATACAACTAATATGTACACATTTATTTATATTTCCCAAGAGTAAACAAACCTGTATAATTCTGTAAACAAATAACATTTTCTTTTTCCTTTCAATATTACTTACAGATGTCAACAGTGAGCCAAGATTCTACCAACCGATATGGTTTCTTTATAATTTATCAACAACATGTTCACTGGTGATTTGTCTTGTCTTTTGGTTTGCATTATCCAGAAGTTCGTTAGGTAAGTTATTAACAGTGCCCTCTATTCTATATATATATATATATATATATGCGTATGTAAGTTTAGAAACTAGAACAAACTTTAAGAACAGTGTTCAAAGAGAGTTTTACCACAGTTAGGTTATTATGTTTATTCATCAGCCAAACAATACTTAGTATTTTTTTGAATTCTTATCGGACTCCGTTATACGAGTTATTTCCCGAAGCAACTTCGCCCTCCTAAACTCAGCAAATACTCTTATTATTATTGTTCACTTGGGTTTCAAGTGGAACATTGGGCTTCAACAACACGTCTCCACTAAGTTCTACTTTCTCATGTCCTCTTCATCTGACTCCCCTATTGCCCATAATCTCTAATCTCCTCATCACATGGTCTCCTCCATGTCACCCTGGGAACGACTCACTCGTCATTCTTCATTCGGGTTCCACTTGATCAATTGCCTGACACTCCATGTCGCCCAACTGTCTTTTCAGCGCATACCCAATCAAACTTCATATACTCCTGCATATCTATTGAGCAATTGGTTCTTGGTTGGTTTGTTGGCTGAATTTCTTGTTGCTAATTCTTTCTGGCTAGCCGTTTGATCTTCAGTATGGAGGCAGCTGTTGATGAAAGTCTGTAACCTGTTGACAGACCTTTTTGTGACACGCTGGTCAAGTTTCTGAACCGTATAGAAGGGCCGAATTCGCATTGGTGTTAAAAATCCGGATCTTGCAACTTATGTTGAGTGCAGAAGATTTCCAAATTGGTTTCAGGTTGATGAAGGAGTATCTTACCTTTCCAATTCTGAGTGGCTTTGACATCTTCATCCGTTCCACCTGTAGTTGAAACTATGCTTCCTAGGTAAGTGAATGGAGGAAGTAACATCTGTCAAATCTCTTCCGTTGATGTTGATTGGTGCAGATTACTGTTGTTGCAGTTCGTTGGTTATCTTCAAAACCCATGTCTTCCCTATTTTCAACTGGAGTCCTGCCTTCGCTGCCTGCCTCTCCAGCCAGTCTGTTGGTTTTCGCCTGCGAGTCTTCGAGGTTGTGTGACACTAGGTGGCACAGTGGTTAGGACTCTCACCGACCATGCACATGGTCTAGGGTTCGATCCCCTGCTGACGCACACCTGATATTAATGGTCAGCCTTGCGAAATTTGGGCTACCGATATCACATGTTGAAAATTCCATACCTTTACCAAAAAATACGGTGTGGAATCAAGGTTTAATCAAAAATAGAAAAAAATCATATCATCTGCACACTTGAAATCCAGATCTTCTAGAGTCTTCTTATCGCTGGTCCAGCGTATTCCTGTCTCCTCACTCTCTGTGCACAGTCTTCCGCATAATCCAGCCCACCACAATTCAGAATATCATCGGTGATAATAGATTACCGGCCTTATCCTGCTCCTGTATTCACTTCGAACGCCTCGCCGAGTTTTCCGTTGCGGGTCACCTGACTGACACGTGGCATTGCCATAAAGCCAGCTGCTGATTGAGGTTGATAAAGACTTGGGCACTGCACGCCGTAGTGTAGAAGTAGTTTCCAAATTACTTCTCGACCAACGCTGCCTGTCGAAGGCCTTTTCAAAGTTGATGAAGTTAAGGTACAGATCTAACTGCCATTCTGTGCTTTGTTCGATGATGATGAGTAGAGTTGCAATTTGATCAGCATATGATTTGCATTTCCTGAATCCAACTTGTTCTGGTTGGTGAAGTTCTGTGTCCCATGCATCCTTTATTCTCTCCAGGGTCACTCGACTTAGTAGATTACTTGGCGTGGACAAGAGCATTATTCTACACCAGTCAGTTCTTGTGGAGTGAGGCGTAAGTTGTCCTTCTTTGGCAGCTTGACAGGGTATCCAGGCTTCCTTCCAATGGTAGGCACCTTAGCTTTATTCCTTTGAAATCTTTCTCAATAATGGCGTGAGTGCATCTGCCAAAGTCACTGGGACCACTTTCGTTGGGTTGGGGAGAATTCTGTCTGGCTCTGATGCCTTCCCGGCCGGACTTCAGTAGCTTGATAGTATTCAGAATTTCCGCTTTCGTTGGGGGATTGGTGTCAAGTGGCAGGCAGTTCTGTGCGTGCTGTTGGTGGTGGAGTATTTCTGGGCTAGTTGCAGGTGATGGTCGATTCAAGAGTCCTTCACAGTGATAAGTCCATTGTTTTATTTGTTTCTTCTCCTTGGTAGTCTGGTTTCCTTGAGCATCATTTATTGGTTTCATCATCTGGGTTGATATCTTCCCGGATAGAGACCCGGTTATCCGATATAATGTCCTGAGGTCTGCTTTAGTTACCAGTGTTTCGTAGAATTGCCTTTTGTCTTTCCTAGCACTCTTCTCCACTTCTTTATTCGGTGCAGTGTACATTGAATTCAGCTTCTCCTTCTGTTGGCCATCTTTGTATTGAGTCATCTTCTCTTTCACCATCTGCCTATCCTCTCTTCCATTAGCTTCTAGGTATTCATTCTTTGTCCTGTCTCTTTTTTCTTCCTCGAACAGCTGTATACATTTCCTTAAATATCGCTTTCACAGAGTTCCAATGTTCTTCCACGCAGGTTTCCATAGTGATGCCACATAGCGTGTCTGACTTTGCTCTGAAATCTGTAGCGAAGACATTCCTTGTACTTTTGCCCTTCAGTTTCTGAATATTGAACTTGAATTGTGGTCTCTCTTCATTTGTTTTCATGGATTTCACTCTCACCTTGAAGGTTCCTTGAACTAGATGGGGGTCTGAGCCCACATATGCTCCTCTTCTTGACTTTATATCCTGCAGGCTGCGTCTTCACTTCCTTAGGCAGCATTGAGATGAAATATATCGGGTTCATGGTATGTCTGTTAGGCGAAACCCATGTTGCTTTGTGTATATATATCCTTGCGCTTGTAGACGCTGCATCTTATCACCAGATAACTGAGAGCTCAGAATTCTGCGAATAGTTCTCCGTTCTCATTCGTTTCGCCAAGCGAGAGCCTCTCGACCCATGATGTGTTCTCTTCCTGTATTATTTGGCTTGCATTCATATCGTCTATGAGGATTTTGATGTCAGCATTTGGGATGTTGTCCATTACTGTTTGTAGTTATCTGTAAACTTCTTCCTTCTTCTCTTGTTCCACGTTGTTTGTAGGTGCGTAGCATTGGATAATTGTTACCTCCCTTTCTCCCGTCTGAGTTGAATCTTGTTGTCATGATCCTGGATAATATTGGTTCCCAATGCATTTGGGCTTTGACTGCCACTGGTGACATCATTATAGCCACTCGCTGCCTCAGTGTGCTTATGGTTGTCGTCTGGGTGACTAGAGTAGATTACCAACTCTCTAGTTTACAATTTGCATAATCCACATCCGTTCTGTATGCTCTCATAGATACCCAGCACTTCTAAGGTATATCTTCTCATTTCCTTGGCTATCTGTGTAGCCTTTCCAGCCTCGTATACTGTACGGATATTCCACATCGCCATTCTTATTCTTGTTTTCATCGAGAGAAGACACGTCGCCTGACTGGCTTCCCGGAGGCCTACATCAGCCCACTGTTTCATATATATATATATATTCTTCATGAGCTGCATCATAAACTACTATCGCATGGAATAAGAGGGTTTTTAGGACTAATATAATCATTTACATGAATTCATCTGATGTGTCATAAATTTCAAGGGACAGTTAAATATCATCAATGACTAAAGCAGGACAGTTTGCTTGATATGTTTGTAAACGTGTTAATGGCAAATTTAGTACTTTTATAAGTTTCAGCTTATGGTTTGCTGCTAATGTCTGATCAAAGTAGAAAGACATTGTAATAAGTTTCTGTCTGTCAACATGTGACATAAATCAGCACTGACGAATCAATATATTACATGTAAGTGATTAAACAAAAAATTAGTTGTTTCCCGAAAAATCACGGAAGCTTTTAGTAAGCATTAGATATTTCTGTTAAAGATTTATTAATTTAAATGGATAGTTATATTATTATGGGCTTTGTTCGGAGTATAAAATGGGGTTTCAGCATCGCATAGCCATTTAAACCTGATCTCTGAAGTCTTCTTTCGCGTCTAGTTCAACGACTACCCATTAACTTCCATTTTCTGTTCTGATGATCTCCTCCATGTCATCCTCAGACCCACGCGCAACCCTTCGTTTCCCATTCGGATTACACTCGTGGGCCTCACGTGCGATATCACTCAACGGCCTCATTAGTGTATCTAATCCATCCCTTTTCCCTTCGTTGGGCAATATGGTCTTGTTTAGTTCATTGACACAGTTTCTTTTGGATAAACCTTTCCAATCGGCGATATGGTCTTGAGGATGGAGTTAAGACAACTATTGTTGAAAGCCTCAAGTGTGTTTGAAATGACCTTGGTAACGAGCCAGGTGTCGAAACCATATGGAAACAATGACCAAACACTGGTGTTGAAAATCCTAATCTTATTCTTTATACTAAGTAGAGCAGGTTTCCGCACTGATTCCTGACTACTGAGGAATACTTTTATCAATTTTCTGTACACTGAAACATAATCACTGTTACACTACTGTTGTTTCCTGATTACTTGAAGCTGTAGAATATAACAACATATTAAGTAAGTTTATATGGTATAATACACAGAGATACAGTTTTAGTAATCGGATGACACTTCGAGCACAATTTAATGCCCATAATCACAACGGTGTACCAACACGACTCTCTAAATCACTTAATATATTTTCACTTCCTCCAATTCTCACTGCAATTTTCCATCCTAATCCTTCAATTGTTAGTAATTAATGTTGATTCGATGAGCACAGATTCAGTGATTGATCCATTTCTCTCCATCTAACTGTATTTTACTTTATCCTAACCGGTTGTTTGATTACATATTAGTGGATGCATTGCAATAACTAGGCTTTTTTCTTAATTACTTAACTTATCACGGTCAATCATTTTAGGTCTAACTTGTTTCTCATGTCCCGGTAGCCTAACTCACACGGATCTATTTTAAACCGGTTGACTGATCTAAATTCTGCACTGTACTATACAAAAGTTTTCAAATGTTCGTTTGCAAGGATTTGATCGTTTACAGGATTTCATTATAATCTGATGTTGCTTGGTGAACCACTGGATAACCTGAGAGTACTGGACAGCTGTTTCGTCCTAGTTTGAGACTCTTATTCAGTACGCATCCACCTTTAGACAGTGTAGTACAAGTATTTTATGATTATACAGTTGTTTCTTCAAAAATTAAGTGTCAAGTCAGTAAAAGTATAGCTCATTACGGTTAGTAGAAAAATGCATTCCGAATATTATCAAGAAACAAATATAAGTAAATCGTTAGTATTGTTGAATATTGATAATCATAAGGGAAATATTTGCAAATATTCCAACCACTGTGCTTTTGTTCACTCACTCTGAGAAACATTTTGACTGAATGTCCGTTAACTTATTCCATCTATCATCATGAGTAGGCGTTTCCAATTAGTTTTCACTTTGCGGTAGACATCATCAAAAGTGTTTTATGAAGAAGTGAAATTGTCTATTTGTATGTGAGTATATATATATATATATATATATATATATAGTTTTATCTTAACTTTTAATAATAACAATCTACTTATAAAATTATATTTGTAAAATCTCAGCGAAACTGAAATGATTAATTCCAACGTTTCGTTCGGCAATCTGGTCCGAACTTCTTCAGGGAAATTAATCGAAATTAACATAACAGAGGTTTAAAAATAAAAGGAACATCTCCTGTTTTTTAAAACTTTGTCCAATCATGAGTCATAAAACAGGCGTCAACATGTATAATAAACAAAATTGCATGTTTGTATATAAAAGGACATCTCTTGTTTTTTTAATTGTTTGTCCTGTCATACTGTCCTGTCTACTTCTCACTCGGCGCTCAATTGTTTTGCATCTATCCGGTCAAATCTTGATCACAGTTCATATGAACAATCTACTTAATTCCAAAAACGGTACTTATAATACAGCATGGGATTCTAAGCATCTGTCACAATATTGCATCTAATTGACTGAAAATACAAATAAAATTAACCGTAGGAATTTCTCCGCTGTTACAGTAGGAATAAAGTCGAAAATGTGCCAAGTATAAAATGAGAATTATAATAAAATGACAATAACGATAATAATAATAACAGCAGGTTTGTTTCAAACAATATTGTTGATACAGCATGGAAATTTTAGCATGTGATAGAGTATTGAATCTATTGTTCTCTTGATATGGCATGGTGAAGGGAAAACAAAACAATAACAATTATTACAGAGCCTAAACGATGTCTACACTTATGAGAAAATAAACAAAATAAATGAGACGATTATAAATATATAATAATAAAGCTTGGTGGAATAAAGGCGGAGACCATTGTTTATTTACTAGCGGTAAGAGGGTTAGTTTGTTCATGCCTGACACTATTTTAATCATATAAAATAAGTGCCAAATATGGTATCATGGAATTTTTATATTTAGACGTGCGCGCATAGTTTGTTGGAATGATCTCTTGTTTTACCTGAGGAAATACAAGGTGAAAGCTGGAGGTAAAGTCGATGCTGACAGTCTGACAAAATCCCTTTAGCAAATTTGTTGTATGAAATCAAGTGTCTATTAATAAAGATGTCAACGATATGGCGTAATGGGATACCACAGTCTTCAGAGTCCTTCGAAGTATGAAAGTCTTTTCTAAGCAATCCAGAAGAGGATAAGGGTGAAAAATAAAGAAGAACAGGTAAGATGCACGAGTGGATAAACTTTAAGAGGAAGGGTTGAGTTATGCCTGAGTGCCTTAACTTCTTAATGTAAAAAGTCAGACGGAATAATTTTTTAGAAATTTCTAAGACATGAGAAGACAAGGATAGATCAGAAGAAAGAAGTAGCCCAAGATGCTTAACGTCAGACTTGATTTCTATATCACTATCATCAATTTTGTAACGGTCATGGTAACTAACAGCTTCATTTAGCTTTCTTTTATATAGGAAACTGAAATTAACAGTCTGACATTTGGAAGGGTTTAGTTTAAGACCATTAGAAAAAGACCATTTGCTGATTTCTGATAGAAAGCTGTTCATCTTGGTACAGTCTAACTTGGAGTTAACAGGTCTTGAAACAGTTAGATCATCCGCATACTTGACTAAGTTCATTTCATCAGAATGAGGTAAGTCATTCAAGAAGAAAGAAAACAGAAAAAGAGAGAGAATAGCGTCTTGAGGGACGCCGACCTCAGTAGGCAATGAAGTGGACGACCTCCCCTGACATACAGTGTACAGCTTTCTCGCTGTAAAATAAGAATGTAGCTAGTTGACAACCGAACATTCAGTATGAGTTTCAGAAAGCTTATTTAACAAAATGTCCCTAGGTACTGAGTCAAAAGCAGATGTGTAATCTAGGAAGGTGCAGTGAACAAATTTTGCCTCTTTGTCTAAACTGGGAACAATGTCATGATGCAAGACTACAGCTGCATCTAAAGTACTTCTACTATGTTTGTAAGCAAATTGTTTGGAATCGATAAAGGCTTTAAGTGTAGGTTCAAGATTAAGTAGGAGGAACTTTTCCGTAGTTTTTAAAAAAGGAGAGGTTATAGGAATAGGTTTAAATTTGACACATATTCCAGTAGATGACTTTAGTATAGGTACAATTTTAATATCTTTCCAAACGGCTGGCACAACATTTCTGGAAAAAGATTTATCAGATATGTCAGTGAGAGAATAACATAGAATATCTAGACATCTTTTTAAGAATAACGCTAGGCACACCATCTGAACCTTAGCTACGAGAACGGTTCAGCAACTGGAGTCATTTTAGAACGTCATTTGTGTTGAAACTAGGAGAGCAGATTTCATTAACGCTTGTGATACTAGAAAGCATGACATTTGTGGGAGAATATATAACGGATTTATTTAGGGTGCACACGATGAATGAACAAGGAATACTGTTTATCTGCTTTCCACGAGTAAATTCCTTGAAAAGTTTCCGTATATTAGATGCGTTTTACAGGAAATGAACTTCTGGTTGTATATTGGATTCAACCTCTGCACTTCAAACTTGATTAAGATGTTAATTATTTTCACACCAATGTTATCTTACATTTTATATCAGTGTTCCTTTTCCTTGCGAAGCTTTTTAAGTTGAGGGGAGGAGAAACGGTCAAATCTAATGAGAAGCGTTTCTCTGCGTCAACAGATGTCGAGACAGAATTTGAGATAACATGTAATATTTGAGATAGTGTCATCAAGACAGCATTCATTAAACAAATCCCACCTTGTGTCTTTGAGAATGCTTCTAAGATTCTGAACATCCTTCTAAGAGTAACATCCTTATACAATTTTGCTGGAGAGATATGAGATAGCTCTCTTGTTTGATTTTCCATAAATTTGGCTGAAACCAATACAATTCGGGTTTCAACAGCGTATCTCCACTCCACTCACTTCTTTGCTATAGTATCCACCTGGTTCCTTCACCATACTCAAGCTATGACTTGCCCTTAATATGATCTTCTCCATGTCACTGTAGGGACCAAAACCCAACTAATTGCTTACCATTCAAATTCTACTCGACGACTTGCCTGGTGTGTGATGTTAATTGAACGTCTCTTCTGTGCCTATCCAGTCACACTCCATTTCCTTCGGCATACTTGATCTCCAATGAACTGTTCGGTGGTTCACTGACAGATTTCGTCGTTACTTGTTTATCCTGTCCAACCGGTCACCTGATCTTCAGTATCAAGGGAAGGTGTATGTGTTAATAGAATCCTGTGGCAGGCTCTTCGAAACTTTTCCTCTCAACGTGCGTGCCAAGTCTCTGAACCGTACAGAAACACTTATTGACTCGGTATTTTTTTTAAAAATACGGGTTTTGTTCCTTTCGAAAAGTGCTGTAGATTTCCACATTGACTTCAGAGTAACGGATGCCTTCTCCACGTTCACCTGAAGTTCTATCTCCTTCGGCCCTTCTTTCATATGAGACATAGGTCATCCACAAAATCTAGATCTTCTAGGGTGTTTTTCTTCATTGAACATATCCTCACCTTCTCACTCCCCATGATCTGCTGCATGATCCAGTCCATTGCAGTTAGGAAGATCACTGATGACCTTAGGTATCTTTGTTTTACTATTGTCTTCAGATCCTTCGGTGAAATTTTCAATATGAGTTACCTTGCATGAGACATCAGCCTAGTAGCTTAGACCCTGAATACTTCTTTGACTTGATTTCATTGGCGGTAAGAAATTTTTTAAAGGTTAAGTAAAATAGACATTTATAAAATTATATCTGTAAAATCTCAGCGAAATTGAAATGATTAATTTTATAAATGTCTACTTCTCACTCAGCGCTCAATTATTTTGCAACTATCTGGTCAAATTTTGATCATAGTTCGTATGAGTTAAGTAAAATAACTACAAAAATAATTTTCAATTAATTTAAAAATTAAATAAATATATTTTTCAAATGTTTGTGAATATCTTTGTTATATTTCTAGGAGTGTTCGCAAGTTGGCAGGGCCGTGTGAAGCATTCACTAACTGGAATCTTAGCTATAACAGATTTATGCTTATGCGCAATACCAGTTCGTATGTTACACGCCATATATCCATTCCTCAGTGGTCTGTTGTATTCTTTTTTCACCTATTTCTTCTGGTTAATTCGTGGTAAAGGTGCTTATGGTATAGGACAAATTTATCCAGGTATTGATTGGGATAAACCCAATTCTGCTGTGCTAGCATGTCTTTGTGGTTTGATGACGTCTATCATATGCCACGTAAGTTCGCACTACAAGAAAAATATACATTAAGACTGATATTTTGTCTATGAATCAAATGAATTTTTTATTTGGTTTTATATTTTGTCTGAATAAACTGGATAATCTATTTCAAACTAAATTCATACAAATTGATTATATTTTATTATTATTCCTTCGGATTGAGAATGGAATATAGTGCTTCAGCAGCACATCCCCATTTCACCCAGGTCTGTACAGTCCTCTTTATCTGGCCCCAAGATTGCCCTTAGGGTTTCATCTCTTGCTCGCATGATCTCTACGTCACCCTTGGACGCCGGAGGGTTCCACTCGTAAGCCTCCCTGGCGAGCGATTTCCCTCAGCTGTCTCCTCAGTGTATTTCCAATCCATCTTCATTTTTTTCCGGTATGTTGTTGAGCGATTGGTTAAATAGTTTGTTCATCCCCAGAGTTTCTTTTACTGATTGTTTTTGGCCATCTGATCTTCACTGAGGATCAAAGGCAGCTGTTAACAAAAGTCTACAGCCTGTTGGAAATGCTTTTCGCGACGCACTACATTTCCGGCCCAAATATGCAAATCACTATGAGAGTAGAAATTGGCCACTGTTCGAGTGACTGTTTTTCAACACAGAACTTCTCACGGAAATGCAGTAGTTCAACTTGCCACACTCCATATAATACTCGAAGTAGAGAAAGGAAAAAAACAAAGAGATATAAAAGAACTATAATGAGCAATAGTTTACGGGAGAGAGAATAACTACATCGAAAAGCATAAGCGCTTAATGGATACGGGAGATCACAAAGACTGAATGCATTCCACACACTGAGTATCAGTGTTGCGTCACCTCGGTCGCACGCGTTTGGTGTTATCCAACTGTTAATACTGCATCACAGTGTGTGATGTCAAGTAGACTTACATGTGAAATTTACAAACACCAAGCTGTCATTCATTTTAGTAAGTTTGATTTGCATTTGGAAATGACAGGAATTAACTGCTAGAAAATCTTACTGAAAGGCAACAGATTTAATCATTTGTGATATGTTGAATACTATATTAATAGTTATTTGCTTATCCTTTCGTTTTCCGTATTCACCTTAACAAAAGTCACTATTCCCCTTCATCACATTTTCATGTGTGGTTCTTAAGTGTCACAAACATAACCTAAAAACATATTTGTCAGGTTCAGTGTCACTCTGTATAAATCTATAATTATCATTTTTATAAATCTGGGACAACTGAATTAAGGAGAATTCTCCAAATCACATGATATTTGTGACCTTAAATTTTGTTGGTTGACGGAAAATCACAACTTGAATAATGTTAGCAGAAATTCAAGCTGAGAAAATACTTCTGCTTAATGCGCCTAATATTATCAGTTGGAAAAGTGAGTATTTTTGGTTTCCAAAACAAAACTCTGGTGATTCAGCACTTCGAATTTGTTTTCTAATGATTGATGGTTAGAGGAAGCTTAGAGTTAGGCTTCCTGCATGTTAGTCAGTGTCAGAAAGGCATTTCTGCAGCCTCGAAGGAATTGATGTTCAGGATCGAAATGGGAAGACAGACCTTCATTACTCTAAAATCAATGTGGAAATATAATGTACTCAACAGAATGAAAAAGAACGAAATCTTCAACACTAATGTCAAGTCAAATATGTTTCCATATGATTCAAAGACTTGGCGCACACACCACTAAAAGCATTTCGAACAGGCTATTGCAAACTTTCATCAGCAGCTTCCTTCGATCCATACTGAGGATTACGTAACCGGTCGGAAACGATAAGCTGGCAACAAAGAACTCTGGATATGAATTACTCAAGAAACTGTCACCCGACAAATATGCACCAGGAAAATAGAGATGGGTTGGACAAACGCTGGGGAGACACGGTCAGACTGTTGGGTGGAAAACGAATCAAAAACAACTAGTTGGACATTTGAGGTTGAAATGGAGGAAATCGTGTCAAGAGGAAATGACGGTTTATGTGCAATCATGGAAACAGCTAAAAAGGATTGTAAAGGGCCAAGTAGAATTGATTTATGCTGCTGGGGCCCACTTTTCCACTCGGAACTGAAGGGAATAGTAATAATAATAGTGATAATCAGGGACTTCATTATCTAATGCCCAGATTTCTCTAATATACTTTTTTATTCTTCTGATTATAGCTTGACTCCATACCGTATTTTTGGTACAACTATGGAATATTCAGCATGTGATATCGGCAGCCCAGTTTTGCAGGCCGACCATTGATATCAGGTGTACGTCAGCAGGGGATTGAACCCCGGACCATGTGCATGGTCGGCGAGAGTCCTAGCCACCCTACCACCGACGCATTGGTGTACTGGTTGTATTTTTTTTGTCTATATTTAGACATTGCCTTTACATACCATGCTGGCAGTGTGTAATGAATATTAAGCATTGTTTGATCGCAAAATTTATGTCATCGATGTTCCGTAAACCTTGTTTCTCTTTTAAAACCTCAAACGTTTTTCTTTTCATACCGACTGCTGAGCTGACAGAAATGTCACTTAAGTACATATATAATTCATAAATCAAGTAAACACAAAACGTGTTAATTCCTCGATAAGACAGTTGTTTATAGAACCAACTATGAGTAGTATTAGCATCAATAGTACCAATGACAAATAATGCCGAAATGTGTGATAATAAGATTAGTTCAAACAGCACAATTATATATAAAAGGAGGAGAAGGTAAATTTAAATCAAGACTTAGAAGAGGAAAAAACAAATCATAAGATTGAATAACACTAAAGTTGTTATAACTGCAATGAATTGAAGTAAACCCGTCGCCAATTTGTTGTAACTGTGGTCGGAATTAGATGAGGAACGTTGTTGCCTTGTTCTGTCTGCGCCTGACTAATACGCCTATCTGCTTCTGGTACCTTCCGACTCAGCGAACCACGTAAATATCAAAAGACAAAGTCTGGTCTCTGACTGTGTATTGTAGTACAACAACTACGACAAACTACGACTACGACGACAACAACGACCACTAACTTATTTAGGAAACGGTATTTATACAATTTTACAACCAATAGAGACAGCCAACAGTATTTGAAATAATTGGTCGTAATAGTCAATAACAAAATGCGTGGGAATGATGATATACCACTTATGTGAGATTAACAGTCATTAAGATAATTGAACAACAACAAAGTGTGTGAGAATTGATGATATACAACTTATACGAGATTAACAGTCGTTAAGATAATTGAACAATAACAAAGTGTGTGGGATCCTATCAAAAGTGCAAAGGAAGTAAATAGAAAACGAAAAATACAGAATTGAAATAAAGACGTAATAAGAATATGAAAAGTTGTTGACAAGTAAGGTGGTATGAAATGTTTTTTTTTCTAAAATTACAAAGATAAGGGGAAGAGTTTAATTAGCTAAATATAAGTTTGTGAATATTGGTTTAATATAAACCCGATATTGTTAGTTCAAATATCTGTAGTCTCAGGTATACGTGATAAAAAGACAGGAAGTTACTTGGAAGAACTCGGTTAGATGTCATAAATTAGCTTAAATGCTTTCTCTTCGTCTACACACGCTTTGTGTGTCGGTGGCACAGCGGTTAGGACTCTCGCTGACCATGCACGTGGTCTGGGGTTCGATCCCCTGCTGACGCACACCTGATATCAATGGTCGGCCTGCAAAACTGGGCTACCGATATCATATGCTGAAAATTCCATACCTGTATCAAAAATGCTGTGTGGAATCAAGCTATAATCAAAAAAGTACCAATTAAACGGGAAAAATTGAAGATTTGAGTAGAAGTCAATTGCCTGTCTAGTAATATGGATAAGGATTTTTCCTCAGATACGATGGTTAAGTTGTCCAGGTGTATATACAGTATAAAGCTGTCCCTACAATAATAATTGAAAATCCCCATTTACACATTTTGTGACAAAAAAAAACAACAGATAGAGTCAAGAAATATATTCCTTTCCAATTAGTTCCTCATCATCGGCTGGCTCTACACCATTATATAGTTTTTTACATCAAAATATTTTACCAATCAAGTGGTCATTTTAGTTAATCAGTTTTAGGTATATAGGGGTGAGGGTGAAATTAAGAGATTAAAGGTCATCAGAACAATAAACTAGATGTTACCAACAAGATAACTAAGCTTTGAAGGAAGAGTGGAAAAAATTATGGAATTCAAGACCAGTTAATTAGTACGGGTTAATAACAAGTTATTGTATTATTATTATTGTTTCCTTTAATTCCTAGAGGAACATAGGGATTCAGCCGTGCGTCTCCATTGCGTTCGGTTCTCTGCTAGAGTCTTCACCTGGCTCTAAGTTTGCCCATACGTTTTCATCTCCTCTTCACATGACCTCCTCCAAGTCACTGACGGCCGACTCGCCGCTTCCCTTTCGGGTTCCACTCGAGGGACGGCTTGTTTAGTGATGTCGCTTGATGGTTTCCTCAGAGTATGGCCAATCCATCTCCATTTCTTCCTGCCTATTTGTTTCACAATCGGTTCCTGGTTGGTTCGCTCATTGCCAGAGATCCCTGTTGCTGATCTTTTCTGGCCATCTGATCTCGAGTAGTATTGAGCGAAGACAACTGTTAATGAAGGTCTGTAGTTTGTTTGAGGTGCTCTTTATAACGCGCCAAGTCTCTGATCCGTATGCTAAGTAGCACTGACCTCACATTGGAGTTGAAAAACGGGATCTTATTTTCCATGCTGAGTGCTGTTCACTTCTACACGTTATTGTAAAATCAAGAAATTTGTAAAATAATGTAAAATAATGCACAAATTCATTTTGAATATACAGATTTAGTTTGTTCAGATGAATTAACTTAATGACTTTTACATTACATACAGCAGAGGCAATCGGAATACCTCTGAATAAGCCGAATCTGTTTGTTTAAAAGAAATTTTTGCAGTCCCATTGTTTGTCATCATTATTTTACAAATTTTTTTGATTTTATAATAACTTTTTGCTAACCCCTACGAATTAACTGATCTTGAATTCCATAATCATTTCCACTCCTCCTTCAAAATTTGGTTATCTTGTTGTTAACATCTAATAGTTAATTGATTTGACGACCTTCAACCTCTTATTTTCACCTCCATTCCCTATACCTAACACTGACAATTCTTATGGATTACAATAACCAGGGAGAACTACATATTAGTGTAGAGCCAGCCAATGATGAGGAACTAATTGAAAAGGAATATATTTCTTCTCTGGCGTTTGAAAATATGGGCAGTGGGTTCGAGGTTCGGTGGGAACATCATCACTCACTGCGCAGTGCAGGTATATCCAGATGACGAGTCCCAAATAGGACAAAATGCACATCCTGGATTCCACTGCTAGTCATCATCCACCAGTTAAACTCTAACTAAATGCCCGGACATCGTCGAAGCATTCGCACAAGAAGCCGATATATCAGCCTGAGACCGAGCACTTCGGTCCAATCAATTACAGGGAAAATCTAAAATTAAATTAAATTAATATGACCCATTGAACAAGAGGTGGCTCTCATGGCCCAAGTGATCTAGTGGATAACGCTTCGGCGTTTGAAACTATGGGTACTGGGTTCGAGCCTCGGTGGGAACATCATCACTCACTGGGAATGCAGGTACATCCGGATGAGGAGTCCCAAGTAGGACGAAATGCGAGTTGTCCTGGATTCCACTGCTAGTCACCATCCACCAATTGAAATAATTTACTATTCATTCAAGTTAATTTTGAATTTCCTGTTGACTGATTTATATAAGACCGACATGTTCGGTCTCTGTTGATATGTCGGCCTCTAGTACAGGCCCTTTGTCGATGCTTGATGAATAACATGATAGCATTTGGTCGATAGCACCTAGCAGTATAACCCCTAATGTGCATTTCGTCCCATTTAGGAATCTTCACCTGCATTCTCAGTGTATGGCGGTGCTCTCACTGAGACTGAAGCCCAGCACCAATAGTTTTGAAATAAATCTAAACAAATAACAACTAGTACTTGTTGTACAAGTGGCGGCTCTCGTAGCCCAGTGGATAGCTTTTTGGCGTTTGAAACGATGAGGCGTGGATCCAAATTTCAATTGGAACATTGTCGTTCACTAGGAATTTAGGTACATCTAACTGCCGACTCACAAATGGAAGTAATAGTGCATCCTCAATTCCTCTGCTAGTCATCATCAACCAAATAACAGCAATTTAATAGTTAGATGACATAAAACAATTTCTTAATGAATTCATATTCTATTTAGTTTGATTATTTAGGCTTTTTTATGCTATATACTGGATGAAAGCACAGCTTTTACTTATTCTGACGGTCAATCAACGAAGATTTCAACTAGAATCCCAAAATACTAATCACATTTCCATAAAACTACATACTGCTCATTGACTGACATGATAAACTGTATACTAATCACAGCAACCAGTAGAGCTTGTTAACCAGATTATCGAAGTGATCTAAACACCGGACGGCCGTTTTGCTCGTTTGGAGATGAGCGCATCAAAGTGTGCGATCAGTTCAAACCAACAATTAGGAAATTGTGAATCAGACTTAACTAATAACCTTGTTTTATCTTTAGGATAAACTGCAAAATATCAACGAAGAGAAGCAGCTAAACTCATCGCTTACTCTGAATCTTGGAATTCAAAATCTATTATTATTATAATATTATAACCGTATGATGTTCAGAAGTTACATATCAGAGCCAAACATACTAGAAATATTTTCTAATGACCAGTAGCTTTCAAGAAAAAGAATGTCAGGTACATTGATTAACAACTAAGGAGTAAACAATGTCATCTTTCTAATTCTTTATGTAGGTGCTGACAGGATTATTTTAGTGAAGTTTTTGAGGTGAATGTAGATCTCATGCTTGTTCGAACTCATCAGCAAGGAGTACTGGCAATCTAGAAGGGATCGATATACCTATGGAGAGATTCAAACTATTGTCAACAAGTGTTGCATTCAGAGATATGAACACTGAGATATTCGGCCTCACGATTGATCTCCTTTAGAATTGTACTCAGTACATCGACTAGTCACCAGTGGGTGAATATTACCGCGTTTCGAGTCAATTAATAAAGGCATTACACTTAAACAATGCACAGCTTAAATTTACGGATGAGATTTGTTAATTTATAGATTTTTTTATTCCTAGAGGCTTGAAGTTTCTGTAGCAGAGGTGTTTATTTCTAAGGGATGGTGTTGCTAACCTCATGCCCAACCTTCTCTCTTTACCAGTCTTATAACTGGCTTAGCGAGGTAAAGGAGTGCATCGGCCGGGAATCGAACCCCGGACCACATGCATGGTTGGTGAGCATTCTACCACTGTGCCACCGAAGAAAATAATGGATGAGATTCGTTAATTTATACATTACATAACAGAATTATTGAATAGTTTCATATAAAAGATTAATTAATGCCTTTCTCCCAATTTTTGTTTTATTATTTCATATTCATGTATAGATAATAGTTTATATAATCTATTTTATACGCGTGAAGATAAGCGCCAAAGTTGGTGGCCGTGGTTATATGCTTGTTGAACCGGTTAGTGAACAACAGCAAGGTTATGATAATGTAGAATTTGACTTGAGCGATGAAACTGGTCGACAAGAGGAAAAGTTACCTGTCTCAAAACCAGATATTATACAAAATTCAGCAACATCAACACAAAAATATGGTACAGTGGAATAAGATCCGTTAATTTGAATAAACAAACCAAAGCGAAACAATTATGTTGGTATCTGTTTTCTGTAATGGTATTTGGGTAAAAATTAATTTCAGATGAGCAGTTACAGTGTTTAAATTTTCGTTTTTTTTTTTTTTGAAGAAAATAAACAGCCATTTTGCCAAGATGTTATCTGTAACAAATGAGTTGAATATGTATCTTTTGCATTGGAATGTTTGTTTCGTTTTTCTGGGTTGTTTTCAATACATGGATTCCAGAGTTTAACGTATACATACAGTATTATGATGTTGAGCTCACCTACTTGAGATATAAAACGATGCTGACGAATTATTTTCCAAAATCTATTCCAGTTGTAATCATGTCAAACAAATACGGTCGGACCGGAAATCATGAAAATATTTGGGTAATTAATTATACATGCCAAACTCTCGAGTGGCCCAAGTGGTTGAATGGTCGGTGAGCTTGGTCGCCTAAATTGAAGGCACCTGATTCGATCCTGGGCGGAGTCGTGTGTTTGCACTGCTGAAGAGTCCCAAAACACAGGTGAGTCGGTGATTATGTGGTAGAATGTACGCCAATCATGCACGTAATCCGGGGCTCGATTCCCGGCCGACGCACTACTACTAGTAATCCCGGTTTGGAAGAAAGGTTGTGTGTGTGAGGCTAGCAGTATCACCTTGTAAAAACATCAGCTCTACTGAAAGTTCGAAGCTGAAGCCCGAATTCCTATGTTCCACTCAGAATGTAACGGAACTAAAAGCAGGCTCTCGAGCGAAATCATTTGGAGGGCGACGAGTTCGGAATGATTCTGAGTGACATAGAGAAGGTCATGTAGTGAAGCGGAAATGAAATACTGTGGGAGCAGATAGAACTGATGGCGGGAAACTGAGTGGAATGGAGACGTCGCGCTGGAGCCCTCTCCATATTCCACTCGATACACAAAGAATCAACAAGAAAATAAATGATTATATGGGGGGAATTATTTTCTGACAAAGGCAGGTATATTCTGCATAGCGGTTTTATTATTTATTTATTTAAACGCAGAAAAACTTGGTACAATATGGCACCAAGAAAGATGCGCCACACAATAATAATAAAACAACATAGATTAAAAGTAAAAATATAAGTAGAAAACGGATAAAGAACTTCATCTGGAAGGAAAACAGTCATGTTTAACAAGTTCAAACAGTATTCGTTAACTATCATCAGGAAGGGAAGAAAGAAGGAAATTGCAACACGTTCGCCATTGATTACGATTCTTGGCTATATCCGATAACGTTTCGAGCCATCGATTCGAGCTATCTCGCGGACCCCAACCAGGGAGTCGTGACACACCAACCGATGCTAATCTAGCACAAATATCCTTCATCCCACGACGCCACGTCATGGACTGACCACCCCTCCGCCTTTTCCATCCCGTCCCAGGGCTAGCGAACAGAGACCTGTACGGAAGCCTCTGGGATGACATTCGCAGCACATGTCCAAGCCACCGGAGCTGGTGTTTCCAGATGACGACACTCAATGAATGGTGATCTCCACTGTGTTCAAACACATGTCGCCGAACCTCAGAATTACTCACGCGATGATGCCATCGAACGCAAGCAATCCTGTAGAGACAGCGATGATCGAACACGCAGAGTGGCCGCACATCCTCAGCTCGGAGAGGCCAGGTTTCACAGGCGTAGAGCAAGGCAGCCCGCACCGAAGTATTGTATACCCGACCTTTGACAGCCAGGCTAACGTCGCGACGGCGTCAGAGGTGGCACAAGTTGATGTATGCCACTTTAGCCTTCATTATACGGTTGGAAATCTAATCCGTCACCCCTCCGCCAGCACTCACACAACTACCTAGGTACACAAACTTATCAACAACTTCAAGCGGTTCACCCGCAAGAGTGAGCGCAGGTACAGGCTCCTGCCAATCTTGTAACAGTACTTTGCACTTAGACGGTGCAAAGCACATACCATACTTACAGGCACTGATCGCCAACTGATTAAGTGCGATTTGGGCAGCCTGCATGCTATCGCACAGTAAGACGATATCGTCTGCATACTCGAGGTCGAAAAGTCTATCTCCAGGTAGCAGATCTACACCACCTTCACGCACATCCTTCAGAGCTGACTCCAGAATGTCATCGATGGCAAAGTTAAAGAGAAATGGAGAGATTGGGCAACCCTGTCTAACCCCACTGTTGGTTGGGAACAGTGATGATAGTTGTTCCATATTAGTTTGTTTATTAGGTATATCACACAGTGAAACAGTATTATTTACTGGATGACGTTTCGAACAAAATTTATTGTTCATAATCATATCAATTGTGATCACACGACTTTGACACTTGAATTTTATAGTTTTCTTTGTTCTCCCCCATTTGTCGTATGGGTAGTAGAATTTTCCAAATATCGGGGACAGGTGATGAATCATTCCTATTACATGTATTTGTAGTTGATTCGATAAACAAAGCTTCTGTTATCAATCTCTCCCTATACCCTGTGACATTAGATTTTAAAACTGTCATCCTATCCCATCCTATTGTATGGTTGTGTGTGACTGCATGTAGTGCTATAGCTGAACTATTCTCTAAATTTCTTATCTTATTCGGGTCAACCAATCTAGATTTTGCTAAGTTTTTATGTTCAGCTAGTCTGACTGCCCCTGTTCTACTAGTCTGACCTATGTATTTGACCTGACAATCATTGCAGGGTATTAGATAAACTAAATTGTTTTGTTTTAAAGGCTCTACAGGATCCTTTAACCGACAAAGCTTGTTTCTAATTGAGTTTGTGGGTTTGAATGCCGTTTTTATTCCTGCCTTGTTAAGAATTCTGCGTAAGGCTTCCGAGGTTCCTTCCTTGTATGGAATTACTACTGATGATTTAGATTCTTTATTGTTGGTGTTGTCATTAATATTATTATTATTATCACTATTATCATTATCCTTATTATTGTTATTATCACTATCGCTACTATCATTATTTATTTTATTTTTACTTTTCTTTACATATTTCCTGACTAATTTATCCGGGTAATTATTAAGTTTTAAGGCTTGTTTTATGTGTGTTAGTTCCTGTTTTAGATTTTCTTTGGTACTACTTAATTTTTGTGCTCTGTCATTTAAACCTTTACACATATATTAGTGATGATAGTTGGTTGTATGCCCTCACTCTACCTGAGGTGTTTCTGTATAGGGCTTTCAAGATGTTAACAAATTTCTCAGGTACACCTCTCTCTAACAGACAGTTCCAGAGCACAGTTCTGTCCAACGAATCGAAGGCAGCCCTAATATCAAGAAACACAACGATCGTTGGCCTGCAATACGTGTGGCGGTGTTCCAACAACTGACGAAGGGTGAACACATGATCAATGCATCCACGACCTGAACGAAACCCAGCCTGCTCTTCGCGAATCAATCCTTCACGTATTTTGCACAGCCTGCGAAGCAAGACAGAAGCCAATAATTTAGACGCGACTGGTAGCAGACTGATACCCCTATGATTGTCACACGAATTACGTCGACCCTTTTTAAAGATAGGGACGATGATGGCTTCGTTCCACATTGATGGTACACTCTCAGTTTCCCATACCTTCCTGAACAACCCAGTTAGAGCCACTGTGAGAGTCTCGCCACCATCTTTAAAAAGAGCCGGGGGTAAATTGTCTGGGCCGGGCGCCTTATGGCGTTTTAACACTTGGAGTTCCTTACGGACCTCCGACCAAGGAGCACTGGGGCTAATGACAGCAGACATTGAAGCTGGTGGCCAGCTAAACTGTTTCCCGAAGTGCTCTGCCCAGCGCTCCAGGCGTCTTTTTAAACTGGTAATTGGCGTCCCATCTGCCTCACAGACCGTCTCGCTGACACCTTGTTTCTTGCTGCCGGTGGCTCGGATGAGTTGGAACAGCTTCCGACTGTTGCCAGATGCAGCAGCTGACTCCATCTCATACGCACGTTCTGACCACCAGGCCTCGCGGTCCTTACGTAAACACTTTCTTATCTTGCGCGTCAGCGCCTTTCTCTTATTGCTGTATTCGCTGCCAGCCGGAATGGACCGGCGTTCATCCAGGAGTTGCAAGGAACTCGCAGAAACCCAGTGGTTTTTGGCGGAGCATTCTTTCAAGCCGCAAGCGGCTACACTGGCTCTTTGCATGGCACCTTGCAGATGGAGCCAACGTTCATCTATACTACTTGAGGGGTTGCTGGCAAGCATTGATTGTAACTCATTCTGATATTTCAAAGAAGTAGCAGGTGCTACTAGTTTGCTCACACCAATGTTTAGACGACGCCTTTTATGAACCCCACCAAATCACAAGACGAACTTGGCACACACTAACGCATGATCGGAGTCCAGGCATGTGCTCCAGAAGGAGCGACAGTCTTGTATGCATCCTCGCCACCGGAAACTGACAGCAATGTGATTGATCTGAGTCCAAGCTTGGTTCGCAGAGGGAGGACGCCGTAGCAGGTAGCGCTTCGGCGATGGTTGTGCCGGAAGTTGGTGCTGGCCAGAAATAGGTTGTGATCCGCGCAAAGCTGCAGAAGACGGTCCCCATTATCTGACCTGCAACCATGTAGTCCCCATTGGCCACCTAGACGATTCTCCTCTGAGCTTAGACGCCCGACCTGTGCATTCAAGTCCCCAGCCAGCACTACGATATCCCTCCGACCCGCCTGTCTCAAGAGATCGTTAAGTTGGTGGTAGAACTCGTCCTTCATTGCATCCGGGCTGCAATCTGTTGGTGCATAGGCAGAGACAACAAATAGACACCGCCTATCTGGCCTACTACTCCTTACTTTCGTATAACCTCCCAGCCTCATAGCACATAAACGACTGTTAATGGGAATCCAGTCGAGCAGTGCAGCTTCGGCTCTAGCGCTCAGTGCGACGCCGACACCAGCTACGCCGGATGCCGACGCCACAGGGTCCCCGGATAAGCGCAGGTGGTACATACTACTAGAACTTCCAGATGGAGAGGGTAATCGAAGCACTTCACTGGGATCTTGAATGCGAGTCTCCGAAATGCAGCAGACATAGGTAGCGAGGCTTTCCAAAGTTCTTGCCAACCCTGCCTGTTGTCCGATTTGCATCAGCGTCCGAACATTGTAGGTGGCCACCTTGAACGCGGCACGCGGTCTCAGGATATCTGTGTTAGATGTCACATTGGGGACAGCCATTTTGAGGGTTACTCACTAACATCTCGAAACGACACATATAGGCTAGGAATCCAGACAAAGGCGAAAGGCCGTCGAAGGTTAAGAAGCCAAGGTTAGCAAAGGTAAAATACAGGAAACTATGTGTAAAAATAAAAGTAAGATAGGCGAAAGGCTGTCGAAGGTTAAGAAGTCAAGATGAGCAAAGGTAAAACACAGGAAACTAAGTATAAAAATAAAAGTAAGGTTGGAAAGAGATATATCAACTGAGACATTATTATTGTTTGAGAGCATTGTTAAGAGCGCGCGATGAGTTTCACTGATAATTTGTTGCTTCATTTAATTAATTGTGTGAGGGCTGAGATACTGCCCGGGCGCCCAGACCGAAGCAGGTGGTTTTCTTAAGGGACCACCCCCCGAGCCTTTGACTTGGAGTCTAATCCACAAGGCAGCGGAGCAGCGTCAGGTGCTGCGTTCCCATGGTTGCCGGTGAGCCATATTGGTTCGTACGCCATTTCATCCGATTGGATTCTGGAGCCCATGTACCCCATGGTGACTGCTTTTAGTCTAACCGCTATCCAAACAACCTTCCTGGCATGGTAGGACCTGCAGGGACATGAGTCCCAGCCAGTTTAGCTTGTTGGGTCACTGCGGCATTCAAGCCCGACCACCATGGCAAGGTAGCAGTTATCGGCCGGTAATAAAACAATTATAAGTTATCAAAGCTAGTGAAAAAAAATGCTAAACATCTCTAGGTTGTTACGTTTCTAGCTTCACAACAGTTGGCATTCAGTGTCCACCGCATCTACTCATTGCGGCTAAATGATTAACGGACCTGTCTCGTAACCCGGCGGTTATAGGGTTCGATCTCTGGTAGGGCCATGGGTGCTTACTGCTGGAAAGTCCCCAACAAGAACAAAACAACTGTCTAATACTCCCTGATTTTCAATGATCCTCTCACTAATGTCAATCCATAATCTGACGTGAAATTAATCGAATCTCCACAAATCAACACTTGAAAATTAAAGTGAATGCATTAGTGGAATTAGAAACTCAAGTTTATAGAAAATTAACTCACACAGACAAAATACTGAATTACAACAGGAACAACCCAATAACACACAAAAGGAATTGTACACAAACACTATTCAAGAGGGCCAGGACTCGTTGCAGTACTCCCAACTTAAGGAAAATTGAAGAAAGATATCTCATGGACGTCTTCCAAAAGAATGGATATCCACGGAATTTCATCAAGAGACATATACCCCCAAGCCAACCTATCAAATCAAAGGACCCCAAGGAAAGCACAATGAAAATCCCACTACCATATATAAAGGGTATCTCAGAAGTTACCGCAAGACTCTTCAAACCTTTAGGAATTGCCGTGGAACACAAGCCAACAAAATCATTCCACTCAGTTCTATGTCAAGCAAAAGACTCAATAACGTAAGAAGATAAAACCAACATCATCTACAAAATAAATTGTAACAACTGCGAAAAACACTACACTGACCAAAGTGGACGTCCCCTTCGTCTTCGTATCCATGAACATAAGCTAGCCGTCAATCACGGACATCAATTCGACTGGGACAAAGTTCAAATATTAAACAGAGGAAACACCGAGAATGCTAGAGAATTTTTAGAAGCCTGGTATTCCAGTGAATCGTCAATCAATAAACACATCGAGAAAGACAAAATTTACCAACCAATAAGCAGGAAACCTCACACACAAAGGGTCAAAGTTCAAGTCAAAAAAAAACAATCAGTTCCAATATAAGGAGCCTACAGCGTGTGAAAACACACAAAAACAACCAATCGCGTCCAAGGTCACTAGGAGAGATGACTAATAAACTTGTGGAAAAATCTAAAAGCTCACTTCAAATTGAAGTATGTGTTGAAGATGTTGCCCAGTAGGGTAATGAAAGCTTCGCAAATCAACTGTTTGGCTCAGAGAACACAACCACATGAAAATCATCCACCTGAGCTACAAATCTTCTCCATCATATCTGAGTTACCTGTGGATGTCTTTTGATAACCTCCACCCTAGCCAACTGTAGTTCGGACGAAATAAAGGATGATTTCTACCAAATACTGTCCAGTTTGCTGCGAGGTAGTTATCAGGGGTTAATATTTGTGTCGAAGACACTGGTTATTATAGTTTGTCGCAGAAATCGCAAGAGTAGGCTGAATTTCGTTGTCTGTGGGTGTTCACCATCCACCACTAGCTAGAACATACGTATCACAAGCCAACAATAGTTTTAATAATTCAGTTTAGCCTTTTGCGTCGTCTAAGCACAAAGTACTGCTGTATGATTGCAGTTATCCTATACGTGCAGTCATCGTAGTAGGTGAAACGCTACGAGTATTCGAAACATTCATTCAATCAATTTTTATAAGTGCCAGCCACGTGATGGACGAAATCCACAAAAATATCATGAAAGCTGGAGTGGCTGGCATTGACTGGTCTGTACCAGTTTTGCAGTTATTAATTTTTCCAGCAAAGTGCTGTTTCGCCTTACCCTTCGGAAACATAGTGTCTTCGAGATGAGCACTCTGGGTTTTCAATTGTTTCTGTCTCTTTAGTATGACTAGCAGTTCGTAATAAAAACAGTGTCAGTATTTCTGACATCCGACAGAGCAGATTGTCTTTCAAGCGATGTCATCTATGAAGGAGAATTTCTATGCTACAATAAGCTCAGAGAAAACCGCACAGTCTTATTGCTACTATATAACTTACCTTTATTTCTGCCTAATGTTTACAACGGTGCGTCAGTGGTATAGCTGTTAGGACGCTCGCCGACCATGCACATGGTCCGGGGTTCGATCCCCGGCCACCGATGCACTCCTTCACCTCGCTGAGCCAGAAATAATGCTGGGAAAGAGGTAAAGTTGGGCATGAGGCTAGCAACCCCATCCTGTAAAATAAACACTGCTACAGAAACTTCAAGGCAGTAGCTTGAAGCCCTATGTTCCACTGGGGAACGTGGAGGAAAAGAAATGTTTACAACGAAGAGTCACACAATATTCAAAGCATACTAATAGGATTGTGAATAATTTACAATATCAGGCAAAGAAAAATAACCCCAAAGAGAGTAAAACAATATTTGATTCTCTGTGAATACACATAGAACGAATTATTATTATTTTATAGGATATATTGTATGCATACATAGGTATATATCAATTAAAGCCAATCATTTATCAACATATACAGATATTATATTATGAGTGCGCATGTATGTATGTATATATATATATTACAGAGAAACAATGACAACAAGTACAAAAATGAGGGAGGTAGGGGGAGGGAATGAAACAAAAGAACAAAAACCAACTTAGCTACTAAAAGGTGAAAACAAAGCCTTATTTCTTCGCTTTCGTTATTTATTATAATCATCACATTCAGAAATGGTAAAAGTAGTGTTTTGATGAATAGGTGGATTTGCGTCACAACAGATACACACCACATGCATACATATATACATACATACAAACACACATACACACAGGAGAGCGAGTAATCCATAAACTGTGTGTGTGTGAGGGGGAGGGTAATAAAAGGAAATAAAGACATTCGTCAGCAGTTGTAGAAGTAAACAATGAATTAATGATACGTCAATGATTCAGGATAGCATATAACATTGGCAATAGAAAGAATATGCAACACACTGGAAATTCTCATCATAATGCACCCACCAATACTGATGATGATAATGATATTAGAAACAGCATTGTCATTAATATTAGTGTTAGTAAATATATTATAAACGTAATATGTGAGCATCTTAGTGATTATTACTGATATTGTTTATGAGAACAAAGAAAAATAATCAATAATAATTTTGTGGAGAAAGTACTCACATTGTGCTGCTTATATATATGCCCCCCTTTCAGGGTGAGAAGACAGGTGTACAATAAACTTTTAATCGTTTGAATCGTAAAGAAAAAACATTCTGACCAAGAGTCAACTAATAATGTTTTTTATATATGAACAATGAATGAAAACAAGTGCTGCATACATGAAAAAAGTAAGCAGATACATACATCGATAATACACAGGTGTAAAGAGACCAGCACAATACGATATACATTGTTTTTGTTATTGTTAAAATCAAGAGGTTGAATTAGTCGACTGGTCAGCTAACGAGACTGAGGGTTGAGGTCCACTGACAAATGTTAACTACATAGAAGAATGAACACAGAAATGAATTAAATTGATAAGGCATAGAGAGAACTTCTAACTAACAAATAGATTATGTTAAAAAAAGAGGGCATCTGGAATCAAAATAAGATACAAAGTACAACCTGGAACAACATTTACATTATCTTACGTAGACATTTTTCTTACTTGAAATTAGAGGAAGAATTTTTTATTGTTGGGATGTTGAAAAATAATGGTCACCTTCATAAATTAATTAACAAGCACTGAAGATGTGAAGATTTAAGCGCCAAACAAATCATGGTGAAAAGAGGAATTGCAAAGGTGATAATATTGCAGGAATACTCAACAGAAGATTGAATACCTAATTAGACAGCATCTATCCTCGAGCTAAGTTAATCCCTGTTTAATGGACAATATACTCTTTGATGCAATCAAACGTCAACAGATCTCTTTTTTATGTTAGCTCTAGTTGTGAATACACATTAACATGTATCTGAGGTAGCAGTCACATTGGGAGGACAGAAAGAAGGAGAGACCTTCGATTTCCTGACCACGTACGAGAAAGTAAACGTCTCTAGGAAACAAATTTTTTCAATAGTACTGTTGCCAGACATATCGTAGATACCAGTCATGAGGTGAACACTATAAAATCCCTTAAAATTATGAACAGATAATATAGTTCAATTCTCCTCAAGTTTGCCGATGTAACTGTTGTCAAACACCTGTTCAGAATGAAGAAGTTAACAGTCTTCCCTTGGCGACTGGATATCTGTACTCTCCCTTTTATCTGATCACATAATCTTTGGTTGTAACCTTTTTCCTTTCGCTCCTGCTTCTCTGGTGTTTCTGTGGTTCCAGTTGAACGCATCACATTGTAAAACAACTTATCAGTTACCGTGTTATCAGCTTCTTGTGTCTGTTACGCAGCTACTTCTTCTATTGCATCGAAATATTTTTATAATTTCTGACCACTTTTTATTAATTTTGGAGTCTCCTGTTAACTGGCATCATGTCACGCTTTCAAGTATGTTAAAATTATACTATACATAAACCTAGTTAATTTTTTAGACTGTACGTAGTTGGTGAGAAGTCGACAGAATAAACAATGGTAGCATATTATTCCGCAAAGAACTGTTGTTTTTATTTCATTCAATCTCATAAAAGAGAATAAGTGTATGAATGAATAGGCTACCTGGTTTTGAAACAGCTAAGAATGCCACTAAGATTCGCTTTCAATCATTTTACTATAAGCAATCAGTAAAAAATTGGCATAAGATCATTTGACAAATAGGATCCGATAGTAAAAGCTCTATGTCAGAAGACAATACCGAATTTGGGTTCATTCTCATGCCTACTTCAACACAACCATACACGACTGACCAGTCTGATACTGTTCCCCGATGACAAACACATAGAAGACTGACTGAGAAGGCAACGATTTATTGCTCTATGAAAAAGGCAACATGACTAGAAATTATAGGTAATTATACAGTTCCACCATACAGTAAATCTATTTGATAAAAACACAGTGATACAGTATTATTTACTACTTATGACGTTTCGAGCACAACTTATTGCTCATAATCATAAAAAATTGTGGTTTGTTCAAATAAAATTACTCTACTACAGTGCTATTCTTATGTTAATTATATAGTTACTTCACATGACCAATAAATTGCTAATGACGTAACTACTTTTTGACTGGTCAAGATTAACCAATAAAAATTCAACGACGAGACATTATAATCAAGGTTACGGTCAAATGCTGTCAGTGGATCAAAACCATAGTTATCTGATTGGCAAATTGAAATCTACCAATCACCAGGTTGGCAATGTGACGATTACGATGGTTGGTAGATTTCGCGCAACATGAAAACCAATCAGCTGATTATGAACTCTATTCACTATTCCAAATGTCTAGTCTATAGACCACTGTGTCTCCTCCTGTTCTAACAAACATATCGATCACTGTTCAATAACCGATAACCAAACCCCAAGAATCCAGCTATCTAAAAAGCTTTCGTTCATTTTTCATGCATATATTTTAATCTAACGTCCGATTTTCAATCAGCGAAACCGGTAATAGTCATCGAACACGGCACACCAGTTTAAGGATATTTGTGATTTTTAAACAGATGTACCACTTGAAATCATAAATTCATTTTTAGACTCATGGTAACTCATCCGCTAGACTTTTGCAATAAACTAAGAAGGTATATTAGGAAAAGTAGATAGAAGAGGGGAAAATCAGGTAGAAACATTGGATGAGAAGTATGTCATCAATAGTGAGAAAGAGTTATAGTGAACAGTGAGGATTTCAGTATATAATTCTTTGAACTCCTTGTCAAATCCAGCAATGATGGTATCAAAATCATTGACTCCTAGCATCTCTGGGACCCGTTCAAAGGAGATGATGTACAGGAAGTAGTCAAACGAAGACACGACAAAGCCATCAAGAGAACTTATTATGCTGCAAAACTTGTTTTCCTTAACACCACTAAGCGAGTGCTTCAACAATCTGGGAAAGACCAGTCGCCAATCCTCGACACTTCAAACTGCGTATATCAATTTGAGTGTGTTTGTGGAAGCAAATACATAGGTCGTACGGAAAGGAGATTGTCTACTCGCATGATGGAGCATTTGCCAAAATGGTTGAAAACAGCTGAGTTCAAAGTGCCAAAATCCTCAATAACAAAGCATCTTGTGGATTACGGACATGATATCGACGCGGTCAAGTCATTCACCATTGTCAGCAGACAAAGAAACAAGAAGATGCTTGCAATTGCAGAGACTTGTACAATTCGAGTTTATAAACCAGGTCTCTGTGTACAAAAGGAGATGGTCGTGACTCTGAATCTACCATGGTAATACGTTTTACTTATAATTCTACCTCTTATTATGATTATTATTTTTATTATTATTATTCTTGATTCATTTAAAGCTATCCTTTATCAGTAGCATTATCTTTACTCACTTCAACACTATTATTATTGTTATTATAACTATTACTATTGACATCCCTCTAGTTGCAATTCTTGTTAAATTCTCTAATGTCTAATTGTTTATCTAAGTGATGTAACTGAAGCGTAATGCAATTTATCTTAATTTTGATCTTCCATACTCTCTCTCCTCTTATCTAATTGAACATGACCTGGAAAAACATTCGCACCTGTCTTTCTGCATGACTAATTCAATGTAGTTTGTTTACTTATCAGTCCTATATCTCCCAATGTAATTTCAAAAGTATATATCCGTGTATGTAGAGTATTCAGTTGACGAGTTCTACCGAAATTTGATGAATTCATTAAATCCTGCTTTATTAACCTTTATTGCTTATTTTAAAGTCAGTGACATAATGGACTGATGCCAGGTTTTGGTTAAACCACTCCTAACTCTTATGCAGCCTAACCCTATGTCGGTTAACATTACCCATTGAGGAAGACGGTGGCTAAGCATGAGCAATACGTGTCTAAGCCATCTTAATCGATACATGCCCGAAAACTCATCAACTGGTTTACCCTTCTAACTTAACAGTCAATACCTAACCACAATACTACTCACCATAGTATACCACTTAACACAGGAGATACAGAGAAAACACCTATGGTCGGAGACAGTTAGTCTCGTCAGATGGAAATGTTTGTTGGAAAAATTACAATGTGTACGTGAGTAAATATGACAACCTTACATTCCCTACAGTGTATACAAGTTATATCTACATTTTACTAATGTTACACGTTATCCTGCAGTTTTTATTACTGAGTCACTTGGCTTTAATATTTACTTCTGAGATGTTACGACATAATAAGCCTTTGAGTATAGGTTGGATTTTGATCAACCTGTTTTTATTTACCCATCACTATTATGTGCGGGAAAATTCTGCTTTGAGGAGTTGAGTAACTCAGTTTGAACCATCAATGAACAATCTTCTTACTTTATGGCTTCATATCACTCACAGAACTATGGCTGAATATTTTCAAACCGTTAAGACAGAAGCAGACATATTATGGTCCAATGCTTACCAAGTAACCGTAAAGTAGATTAAATGGTCACGTAATTCGATATTTTATTGGTACATCTTAACCAATCAAAACAGTTTTTAGATCTTAAACTAGTAATTTATTGGCTATTTTTAAAGTGACTTTATAATTAGCTGCATTTTCTAGTAATAAATCTCTGCTTTCTTAGTCAACTTTCTGTCTTTCTCATTGTGGGAATAGTTTTGTATAGTATTGTCGTATGCTGAAGTAACACAGGGAACGAATCCAAATCGAGTATTGCCGCTGATACTCCTTGAAGATTATCTGCCAGATAATTCAATGTAAAATTCCTGACTTCATCAGTGAGTGCAGTAAGTTTGAATGTCGGATGGAAAATGAATATCCTAAAGGTTCAACAGTCAACAAGCTTGATATCTGGGACCTGCTGTCGATTAAATACTACTCTTCACATCTAATTACAATTATTTCAAAAGTCACAAGTATATTACACAAAGATAGTGAAACATAAAAACTGGATCTGATAATATAACTTACAGGAGCGGATATAGGTAATATTATTGTTGTCCCTAAAGATGTAGACACAGGAGTACCCAGCGCGGCCATTGCTGCATTTGCTACTTTAATATCTGCAGTTGATATGGAGTGCACATTGTTATGCTCAATATCATTCGATCCATTAACAACAGTATACTGTCTACCAGGAAGGGGTCGTGACGATATACTTGTCAGGTTACTGGTGCTGGTTGATAAAAGCGTAGGGGCGAAGATTACCGTTGAACCAACAGCTGGGGAAACTGTAGACATTGTACTGGCAGCAGATGATTCATCGATGAAAGAGGATTCAAGTTTGCTAATCTATGAAATAGAGAATTAAAACGAAACAAAGTTGCTAACTATTCTCAACTGTCATTGAAACTTCATATTTAGGACATTTGATTAGTGGATAATTACAAAGCTAATAGTTTATATCACAATTTCGTCCTGTATATATACACACTAAGTAGTCATAATACTTATATTCAGATTATGTGTAATGAGTACAAAATTGAGTTAATTAGCTCTTAAAATGCCGGTTAAGCAAAAATGTAAGAGATTCAGTGGATCTTTTGGCTTATACTTTGTCGCATTCCTAGAGATTGAAATGTAGTGCACAACTGTTATGTCAGGAGTAGACATATTATGATTCAGTTTTACCCAGATGATTTGTAAACCAGACAATTGACCGTAACGTAGATTAAAAGGTCACGTTATTGGATTTTTATTGGTACATCCCGACCAATCAAAACGTTGTTTTTCGTATCTTAAACTAGTAATTTATTGGTCATGTGAAATAACTATTAAATCAGCTGTATTCGCTAGTCCTATTGGCTTTTTTATAAACCAATAAATCTTATCCTCGTTAATTAGTCTTCTTTAATGGTAAGAAAACCAACTACTAAACCAGATGAATTTCTAGGTGAAGATAAAAGTAAAGCGTGATAGGATATGCTCCATTACTAAATATCACATTGTGATAAGATTGGTAAAGAATGCGACAGCGACCAACCACAACTACAGGATTTGTACCGTAGGCAAATACTCGCAGCCTGTTTGCACATGAAACACTAACTACTTATAAAGTAAAATTAAGCATACTCACCTCTCGAAATTTGACCAAAAATGCCCTCAGTGGTTCAATATAATTATCGAAACCTAGAGTATTCATTGCACATAGGATATCCTCACCGTTGATAGTCTTGCGCTTTTCCGTTTGACATTTATCTGCTGCTCTTTATTTATAGGTAATAGTTAATACATAAAGAATACTCACTCGCTAGTGATAAAACTAATGAATTCAGATACACATTCCTGCACACATTCTTTAGCATCTTTAGCAATCTACAGAACAGTTCAAAAATATGTTAGGATATTTTGAAATAGAATACTTTTCCGTTTCCAGGTACAGCTCTCTTCATAATTTTCGCCACGTTTGCTATTGGAAGAAATCGGTCCTTGAAACGTCAAGGTTATAGTGACAAAACTCACTTGTTCCCGAAGTGGTGACCTCTGTTCGATATCTCCAGTTTGATAGTCTGTATCATGATCCTGCAAGGAACCATCTAGTCCTTCATAATAGGTTTGCTCTTGATAACTGGATTCTTCTCCTTGACTGTCTGTACTTCGCTCCATGTCAGTGACAAATTCTTGTAAGGGCAGACTTGTTTTCTGTAATGAGGTTAGCTAATTAATTTTTTTATGTCCAAGGTCTTCGGATGGTTTTCACATAGTTTAATTATAAAACACAGGAAACTATAATACCGTTAACTTTTGTTGGTTGTTGAACACTTCTAAAGTGTAGGTAAACAAAACGGTGGGAGTGGGAGATGAACGTCGGAGTAATCATAAATATTCATTAGAAGTAGACTGATTCAAGTAATTGATAACAAGTTTTACCAGCTATGATGAGGATAAGCAGTGTATATACGTCGCACAATATCCTAAAAGAAAATATTTCAGAAGACAGCTACAGTCCGAAGAGAAACTACAATGATTAGTGTGGGAACAACTAGTGGGGATTTTTGAAAGGAAATTAACGCAGTCATAAGAAATCTTCAAAATTGAATTTACCACGAGCCACATTAATGAGACTGTAATTATTTTGATTTCAGGGCATTTCTATTTGACCAAAGATGGCTATTCTTTAGTAGATTACCATTATACATAATAAGTTCTTTGAAATCTAAAGTACTAAATGTTAATACTTGATAAAGTTTCTCATATGTATGGGATGTGAAGCATACGCAACACATTTACTGCATATCTTTAATAAGCCTCGTAGCTTTATATTTTGTTTAATAAGTGCAAATGAACAAATGATGTACATACAAATTCATGACTTGTCGCTTCAACATAGTCTATTTGTTTGTTTAACAGAAATACACCAAGTATCGTCTATAAGTAAATGGGACAATAAGCCTCTGAATAGTGACAAATAGGGATAGAATAGTCAGTCTTCCTCTACACCTTGCTATCACAAACCGTCGATAAGTCTTTATAGAGTCATAAACAAAGAGATAACTGCTGGCGCCGGAGACTGGCTGTATTTCTTGGGATGGTAGAGACAAGTGGGTAGTTTAGCATGAATCTCCTAGTATTCTAGATATAACAGAAGGCGAAGTTATCCTCGTGATCCTGTTTGACGTTTGCTTGTTCTCGGGATCTAAATAGATTCCAAAAACAATCCCTAAAGTCTTCAAAAAGGGCACTGGTAAAGGAAACTTTTGCATAGTTATGACCAAAGACTTATTTATTGTTGGTGTCTCATGAATGTGCAAATAAGAACATTCTTAACTCACAATGGAAACATGCAATAATTTTACTGGAAGTTCATTACTCAATAAGGCAATCTTCAAGTACACTTCCGACCTAACATCCACACTTTTAACTAAAAATATTTCCAACATTTTCCAACTTTGTCTTCTTTGTTGTTAACTGTAGTTATTGACTACCTATAGTAATATACTGGAACTACTATTACTGCATTCGCGCTAACTCATACCTCAGGTACTGTAATAAAAATTTCCTGGTCACTATTGTTGACTAATTCTCAAGATATACGGTCGACTACCCCCTTTTATTCTAATTTTTGATTTCAGAAAGTTGTGTACCTTATAATGAGAGGATAGATATTAGCATATTGTTTACACTGACATTTGGTGAACAATAGAATTGTGGTTGTGAGCCAGTTGGACTGTTCAGTATCCGGTCGCTTCCAGTGCCAAGCGTTCAGAAACATCTGGTTTTTAGTGTGAACCTTGCTGTTTAGGCAGGTCAGTTTCTTTAATAAGCCTGTATAAATGTTAGGCATTGTCCAGAACCAAGCACTTGTTTATTATAACTGTCTATCAATACTTGCAGTCAATAAGTCGTGTTTAAATTGCCTTGGTTTTTGAGTGACACAAGAGCCAGTCAAAATGCGGATTCTCACACTGACTAGCTTGCATAGAGTCATATATATCCTCATAACTAAACAATGGTGCTACAGTACTCTGAATATAACTCCCAGATAGGCTTTTGCTAATCACCAATCTTTAGATGATTGTTACGTTTCCCCCTCGCATATACACTTGATATTTCCGTTTTTAAGCTGTGTAAAGAGGAAACTGAAAATCAGTATTAGTTTTTTACTGATCAGCTCTAACAACAATACATCTCACCCAGTTCTACTTTAATACTGTCCGTAGGTATATGAGACAAGCACGCTAAGTATCCCGAAAATGCCTAAGCTCAGTAAGAATGCTGAAGAACCGATGGCGGTGGTGCGCAGTCTACATACAAGTACACAACAAGAGTTGTATTCAAATACTACTAGCAACTTTTCACTTAATCTATTCCACATTCGCAAAATACTTCCGAAGGTTGAAGAACCAGTGCCATTCAATCATTTCACAGTGATGGACTCTTCACATGAAGTTGTAAAATGATTTCTATCCTTAAATTAACTAAAATTCCGAGTTAGGCAATGGATGAAGCTAATTTGATCATCAGATGTAGTTTGTCGGGGATCCCAACACGAGCGTTTGTATGACAGGCTTATCTCCTGTGACTTCTGTTTCTGCGAATGGTAGGCGGAAAAACAAACTCTGACACGCTAAGGACTTCATTATTAGCGTTAAAAACACCAAGTTCACCATTTTCGACAGAACGTACGGCCAACAACTATTGTAAAGTGTGCAAACAAGGTGAAAAGAAACGCTGTTGCTACATGCAATTGGTAGTAGTAAAATTATTGTTTATTTTCAAAGCAACCAAATGGCATATAAACTCCAAGTGCCTTAGCACCCAACAGGTGAGGTTTTTTACGTTTGTAAACAACGTTATGTGGCTGGAATTATTTTTTCTCCGCAAAAGCCATTGTTTACACATACTGGTCTGTCTTCGGTTAATACTACTAGTTGGAGAGACGCTATCATTTGAAACAATGAATTGACTTTATAATTGAGATATATAAAATGTTTATTAAGGTGGCGAATAAAACATATCGAGTGAATAAACTGGAAACAAGTTCGACTTTTGGAGAAAGGCTGTAAATAAGTCTCCTGGGACTGAAACATGGCACTACAACTAATGAAACTGCATTTATATAGTTTGATCAAAAATAAACGTGACCTAGTAGAAATAGTTTCATGAAAATTACCTTTTAGATAAACACGACAGGCATTGACGATGAAAACAACCCTACCTCTGAAGGTCAAAGGAGCTCTTTCAATTGAACCGCACTGAAGCACCCAAGTGCATTTAAACAAGCATTTGATTGACATCTCTCGGAACAAAGTACCCGTTAGGTAGATCACTAAAATTTGCCACTGTGATATGTTACGCAGTAATTTTGAGTCAGTTTCGAATTATTATGCATGTCACTTAAAATTTACGTCACTTGTGTGTCATATACTTAAAATTTTTGCATACCACGTTTAGTCACTGCTTAGAGACTTCACTCTGTGATAAAGATGTGACGATTATCTCAGTGAGTTTGATGTAGACTTCGTTGAATTATATGAGCGAACACCCAGATGAACATGATTTGAGTGTAGTGATTATTCCTAACACCACCTTAATTTCTATCGTGAGAGAGGCAGTTTGCATGTTATCAGCGTTGACTACAGCATATGCATTTTCCGAAAGAGATTGCTGAAGTAATTGGAAGCGTCTTCACTTATTCACCACTCATATCAATCAGTGGTGACTACTAACCAGATCAGGCAGATCTAAACAGTGGACTATCGTTTCGCATGTTTGGGTTGGAGATCATCATCGGTGTACTCGGTTGGACTCAGTTCACACAGCAGAACCAGTTTGAACACTTGATTCATGGCTGGCTACATATATAAGTGAAATTCACAATTTGCGAATTGGTTCGAGATTTCGATTGATGTGGGCAGTACACAGTTGCTCACAACAATTTGTAGTACATGATTTAAAATGAGTATGCTCACCTTCTTCATAATAATCTTTGCTGTCAAGCTGATCACTTACTGTGAGATCATTTTCGCTCAACAGACTGTTCAGATTACAAGGTACCAATCAATCTGCAAATTGTTAATTTCCTATGTGGTATTACAATTTCACCTAGGTAGTTAGCAAGTAATCGGGTATTTTGAATTGGATCAGCTCTCCTAGCTCAGTTAAACCATGTATACACAACCCTTCTTAGCATCCTTCACATGTAGGTGGCTGAATAGCATGACAGTTTGCATTGCAGTATGTGACATTGATCTTTGTAGTGCCAAGTCTAAGGTGGATTTATCAGGCTTTGGCCTCACATATACTACTTACGTGAGCATCTGACATCATAAACCTAGATTATAAGAGCTGACAAATATTTCAACTTTTCGAGGGACATTTCTTTAAAAAGCTCACCAACCCACAGGATTAAGTATTAGGACTGGAATGACTCATGTAGCAGATGCTTATATCAGCATTTATCCTATCTGTTAATAGAGACCATGGCAATATAATTTACTGAGATCTTTCTACTTTGGACCAATTACTGTTAATAACTCAGCTCTTTTATCCAGGTGAACATTTAACTAAACTGACACTTCTTTTACTGTACACCAAAGTTAGTCAGGCCCCGTTGTAATGCTTGATATTCTTGGACCTTACATTTTAGGTTGAGAACATTTGCGTTTTCCTTATTGTTCCCTGGTAATGCCTTCATCAACTTTTACGATTCAGGAGTGATTTCCGCATTTAGTAATAATGCATTTAGTAATGTGATTAATTCCTAATTTCTGGGAGTAAGTTCCAGAATATCCTTCAGACATTTTCAGGTCATTTGGGTATCCTATCTGGTACCACTTGCCTCATTAAACTTCATTCAGTCTCTGCTGGTAAGTGCTTGCAAAATTTTGACAAGTTTAGGTGAATGAGTCAGTGCTTACCAAGGCAGTGAAAAATTGGTTACAGTATTTCTTCACACATAATTCAGATTTCACTCTTTGGATGGTAACAGCTTCTACAATATGAGGTAGTCGTAAAGTCCTTTGTCTGCTGAACAGCTTAAGTGATTCCACTGTTTATCTGGAGTTTTATATTAGTTACCTGTCGAACTGTAGATCCATTTAATGATGCTGAGCCACTAAAATTTAGGCTCTTGGGCGCAAACCCGGCGGTCCTCGCAAACAACCATCCTTCCGTTTTTCCGTTTGAAAGAAGTCGCTTGCTACATTCTTCACATTGCTTGAGTCATCCAGCGATTAGAGTAGTAGCATGGTCGATGAGAGGAATAGCTTAATTAGTTTACAAATAAAATTGCAGTGACCGTCACTGTGACATGAACGAGAATTTGTGGCGGATTCATAGTATCTGATACCAGTGAGAAGTTGAACTATGACATTTCTGCATGTGATAGTGAGCTCAGATACGGAAACTTTTGGTTTTTGGGACCTGAGATCAATTTAGCAACTAGAAATTTCCGCAAAATCATGAATGAAGTTTAAACTGTGTGTCCATGATTTGTTTATTACTACACTACTGTCATCTCGCCTAGGTTAATAGTCGGAAACAGGCCAATGACGGGCGTCAAGCGACCAACTTCAAACATTTGAAAACAGTCCTATTGTTAGCGGTAACTCATAGCTGTAGAAAATAGACACGTTCTACAAAAAAATCAAGAAGACTTCTCACTTCGAGGACAGATGATACCGGTGAGAGAAGGCCTTCGGGAGATCAGTCAACCCACAGACATTCTTAGGTTGATAGCAACAA